TTCTGTCTCTGAACTGATCTCATTACACCTTGTATGGATTTCATATTCTGTATGGTGAAGTTCACACTGTATGCTGAAGCCTCTTCAAGCGGAGAATGAGTCAGCTGACACGCCGCCTCTACAACACCCTTTGATCTCATGTAATTAATTCTGGAACATTTCATTTTAAAATGTGAGTGTGACTTATGGTGGCTCACATCAACGAGGTTTGAACGGGAGGTGGGGATTTAATGTGTGGAGTTTTGAGTGTTCTCTGCGTGAGCTTCCCCACAGGCAGGATCGTTGAACTGGAAACTCTAATGCACATGTAGGTGTGAATGTATTTTATCTGTCTATGCCATGTTGGCCCCATGATAGTCTGGTGACTCGCCCTGCTATAAGCTGTCTGTTTATCCATTAGACATGGTATGCTGTCCGTCACATGTACGACAACTCATTTCAAGCAGCACAAGATATTTCAAATTCTTGGTAACAGTGAAAGATGTTTTCAAATCTTTGTTTTTCATGCTTCAACTGGTTTGTTTGCCTGGTGTCTTGCCTGGACACACAGGAATGTATGCCCTCTAACTCCCCATTCCTTAAATGCCAGATGGTATTATGGTGTATTTGGAGCCATGGGGTATTACAATAACACTGCCTTCTATGTCCAATAGAAAGGTGGTGCCTTCACTAGTCCTTCCTTGTTGCACTGAGCTATAATGTCAATTATTGGTAACATCATGATGCCATGAAATGGGATGAAATGAAATAGGTCAAGAGCTTCAGAGAGCCAGATACAACAGCAGATGGGTCACAGGGTTGGATTTGAAAAGATCAGGCAGTGAAATAGCCATTTCAGGAAGCATTAATCCTCTATGAAATTGAATTTAGCTCCCCTAAATAATCAATTCTATCTGTTCTGACTGATTTATAATGCACAACAAATCCCACAGAAACATGAGACACATGCTGGTGCTACCCTGCGGTGACAGCCGCTCCATCACAGTGTGTGTATTGTGTGGAAACCAGCGACATATAGCTACAATCAGCTGCAGATAATAAAGCAGAGAAACTATGGGACAGCAACGGAGAAACAAAATATATTTCAAACAAATCACCTTCACAATCGGTCCCAATTGTAAATTGGGTTGCACAATTCAAAATCTATTATCATCTGACAGTGTGATGCCACACTGAAGGAAAACAGACTACAACAACATAATGAAAAAAAAAAAAATACAGACGTGACACTAATGGTAAATTGGATTGAAATGGATGGAACAAAAACCATTACACACTGTTTCTGGGATACATCAAATACTGGAAAATTAAAAACCGTTTTGGATTTTGAGGATAAACAGGCTTAAGTCAGTTCCGCAGATTTTCAGTGTTGTGTCTCCTGCCAGGAGGTTTGACTACTTCACAGCAACAAAAGAAAAGTGTTTAAAAATCAGATTTAAATTCATTCAGGCTTATGACCACATCCCCAAGGGGAGTCTTGTGAGGGGTACTACAGGAATACAGGGTTGCTGCTACAAGCCATCTGGTCCCTGTATAACCAAAGTCAGAGCTGTGTCTACATACTTGGCACAAATCAAACACGTTCTTGGTGGGTGTTGGCCTCCGCCAGGGTTGCCCATTGTCTCCAATTATATTTGTGATATTCATGGACAGGTTCTCAAGATGCAGCCTGGGGGAGGAAGGGGTCCAGTTTGGGGATCTCAGAATTGCATCTCTGCTCTATCACACCATGACCTCCAGCATGCACTGGGGCAGTTTGCAGCCGAGTGTGAAGAGGTCCAGGTGAAGAGGGGTGAAAGAAGGGCTAAGATAAAGAAACACCATCTGTGTTGGAAGAATGATGTTATGATAACTATTATTGGAGTAGGAGTAAGAAAAAGCAAGATGAATCCTCTTAAAAATACACATCAAGAGACAAGTAGTGAAAGTAAATTTGTTGAATTTGTTCACTGATAGCTCATGACCACGTCCCTTGGAGAGTCTTGTGGGGGAACTGCGTGATGACGGGGTACCAGGGTCGCTGCTATGAGCCATCTGGTCCTTTTACGACCAAAGTGAGAGCTGCGTCCACACACTTGGTGTAAATTCAAACATGTTCTTGGTGGGTGTTGGCCTCCTCCAGGGTTGTCCCTTATCACTGATCCTGTTTGTGATATTCACGGACAGGATCTCAAAGTGCATCCAGGAGGAGGAAGGGCTTCAGTTTGGTGGCCTAAGAATTGCATCTCTGCTTTTTGGAGAAGATGTGGTTCTGTTAGCTTCATCATACCGTGACCTCCAGCAGGGACTGGGGCAGTTTGCAGCCAAGTGTGAAGCAGTCGGGATGAGAGTCAGCACCTCCAAGTCTGAGGCCATGGTTCTCTAACGTAAAATGGTGGACTGCCCCCCCCCGGGTTGAGAGTAAGTTACTGCCCCAAGGGAGTTCAAGTATCTGGATGGATTAGCGGTTTGGCGCAGCATCTGCAGTGATGCGGGTGCATGCGGGGTGGTGATGAAGAGAGAGCCGAGCCAGAAGGCAAAGCTCTTGATTTACTGGTCCATCTACGTCCCAACCCTCACCTATGGTCATGAGCTATGGGTACTGACGTAGTGTGTTTATTTTGAAAGAGACTGTGCATGTAACAGGCAGACATCAATGTCAACAACCAATGCACCCTGGGTACCTTGCAGGTCGTATCTGGACGTGGAAAGTCCATGACCAAACCTCAATATGTGACGAGGTCGGAGTGAGAATGTATTGTTAAGACAGAGGGAAAAGCGAGATTCAACTTTTCTTTGTTAGGGAGAGAAGATGGAGGTAGGGGAGGGGTCTTACTGGACATTTTGTCCAAAATTTGTCTCCATATAGTGTGTGCATTCTGACTACTCCTTGATAACATACACATTGTCTCCCCTTCATTCACCACTGTCATGCATACTGGACACACAGCCTGCCCTGCACTCCCTGTTCCCCAACCACACAGCTCCAGACACACCTGGCAGAGATCTGCACTCTACTGACTGCACTTTTCTACTTTGAGTTTGCAGCTAAGCACATCACACCATGACAACCTTGTCTTGCTGTTTTATGGGCTCAGCTTGTGCTACAAACATTGACATACATGTCAGATGATGCAACATTCTGAGACATGGTCAGCATGTGTTACACTTAGGATTGGTAATCAGCTTGTAAATGGTTGTATGCACTGTTTTTTCTCGAGTATAAAGACTAAATGAAGTGCTGATATAAAGTGACTTTGACTTCCCGGTGGAGTTTTGCCCTCAGACCAGCAGAGCTGTGAAAGTACTCAATATGACTGCAGGGCAGAGACAGGACTTGCATGCAGTATCAATATTTAGCCTCCCCCCTCCCAGGGTTACTTTCTGTATTCTGTCTCTATGGAGACTCTTGAGAATGAGAACTAATGCTGCAAGTCAGAAAGAGTTGCACAGAATCAGAGATGTTAGAAAGGAGGCATTTCCTCATTGGTAGTCAGAATCATACTCCATGGATCTGGTACATGCTTACATGCAGGCACACAGTCATGACTGCACTGCGATTATTATTGTCACTGCATTAAAGGACATTTTGTGGTTGTCTTCTTCTGATGTCATCATGTTATTGTCCTTGATTTACATCACTAAATAAGACCGACAAATGTTTTTTGTTTGCTTGTCTTATCGCACTGCCTTCAGGGTTCAAAGTGAGTTCAGATGTACTGTAAGAACAAGATGACAAGTGATGTTTCCCAGAATACATGGCATGTGAATGTGTATAAAAATGAAACAAAGGAAGCAGAAACAAAAGACGCCCTCCATATTTTTATCTAAAACAAAACAAGCCCAACTACCACAGAACAGCCAATAAGTGCATGTGTTTCGCAGTGATGAGCCATATCTGATTAATTACTCAATGGTCAGGTATTACGTGGAGTGGCAGTAAAGGCCTCAAATGAAGTGTTTCAAACAAAGGCATTGGTGTGAGGGGAGTGGAGTAGTTGTTTGTTTAGTCACCCGGTGATAATCCCATCATCTGAATCATGACTGACTGCAGGTTTTACTTAAGGTCAGGTACACCAAAACACTTCGAATAAAATTCACTGTCACAGATCTCCAACTGTCGATTTCACTGAGTTATGGGCAGCAACAATGACAGCAATATAGTACATGCATCCATTGTGACATTAGAAAGTGTCACATTTATCTTGCAAGTTTACTCTTCTTCAACGTTTTGTTTATTTCCTGGATTTTTCCCACATGGAAATTCTGACCAATCAAGAGCAGCTTTCTCACACAAGGCATTTAAACTGGTCCACTTGTAAATGCTGCCGTGAGAACAAGAACCAAATATAGGCAAATATACAACTTTGAAACAAAATTAGTCCCTGATTCAGACCAAAGCAAGACAACTCTAGGTCTGAAAGCACTCTAAATATGGTCACTTCTGGCTCCAAAAAACCAAGTTGGTCATGGTCGAAATGCTGAACTCAAGGCTTCAAACAGCAGTCCACAAACTAATGGGTGATGTCACGATAGCTACATCCATGATTTTATACAGTCTCTGGTCTGGCAGTTTGGCTCCAGGGATGATGGTTGATCTACTTCTTTGGTCCAGACTTTCCCTCTCCACTGTTATTTTGTGGATTGCTGTGACATGTTGTGTGGACGTTGATGGTCCCGAGAGGATGAGCCCTAATGACTTTGGAGTCCGGATTTCTCTTTAGTCATTAGTTCAAGGTCCATTCAGCGTCATACTTGCATTTGATCATATCGTTGAGCTAATTTGCTTTCTGTCAAGTAGCTGTCCAAGTCACACACTCTACAGCAGGAAACGGCACTTCAAAATAACAAATGTGATTTTTACAAACTTGACATGTTTGCAGGTCACTTGCAGTTCTTTCAGAAAAGACCTGTGACCGACTTTTGGACCACAACCCACCAGTTGGGAACCACTGATCTAAAGTATTGTCCGTAAGATTTACAGCTGCCCACTCTCACTCCTCCACCTCTCTGTCTTTCAGGTATTGTGTCACTGATCTCTCTGGTGATCCTCTCCTACGACCGCTACAGCACTCTGACTGTATACAACAAGCGTGGACCAGACTATCGCAAGCCCCTGCTGGCTGTCGGGGGCTCTTGGCTATACTCCTTGTTCTGGACAGTGCCCCCTCTGCTGGGCTGGAGCAGCTACGGCATAGAGGGGGCAGGAACCAGCTGCTCTGTGTCCTGGACGGTTCAGACAGCCCAGTCGCATGCTTACATCATCTGCCTCTTCATTTTCTGCCTGGGTCTACCCATCATAGTGATGATCTACTGCTACTCCAGGCTGTTATGGGCAGTCAAACAGGTAGAGAGACATCAAAGTGTGTGTGTTGTGTTTATGCTATTTTGTCTGTCTGATGTTGAAAGTAAAACCACAGATTGCTTGAATGGATCCTCCGTCAAAATTTACCCTTTGAGTTGCAAACACTGTTGGCTTCAAAGGAGGTTAAAAATAGTTTGTGGTTTGCTAATTCACAAAGAACAGCAGGTGGTTACCTTGAACTTATGTAATGTAAAACCGACTCCAACAGCGTGTAATTATTAAGGTGGAAAAAGTTTCAATGCATCCATGGAAGTCAAAGACATGCACAAAATGCATGTTCAATCAACACATCCACAAAAAAGAGGGTACATTTCAGTGCCTAGTGGAGTGTGCTGGAGGTAGAAGACCTCACTTCTGTTCAAAGAGACTAATAATAAACTTAATCTTCAATAATACAGGCAGGCATTTGAGAATTGTTTATGGTCTTCTTAGGGTCCAGGAATATTTACCTCCCTGTCCTCTGCCAGGACCTTAGAAACAGCTCCTTTCTGGACAAGCCCATGTAATTTTCCAGAGGGCGTGTCCACTCCCTCCTGGGATGACGTGTCTTTCGCACCACAGTGAACGAAGGTGATATATCCCAAAATAGAAGCAAATGCCCTGGGCATACAGAAGGGTTTGTTCCATCTTTTCAGACTGCATAGCTGACTGCTCTTCACACCTGATGAAATCATGCCATAGCCTCTAAGAAGGCCACAAGCCAAAACATGTCAGTCTGACAATTAAGTTGTTCTTCATACAGTGGAAACTGCTCATAGTGATCAGTTACTGTGATTAACTGCTTATATGGATCAAAAAGCTTGGGACAGGCTCATTCCTAAGCAAAGTCTGTTAAATAATTTGCTTATCAAATTGTCTTCCCACAGTGTTCATACATGACAACATACAAACCTGGTAATACTGTTTTTCTTTCCTTTTACTCCCGTAATACTTCGAGGTTACCCGTCTGCATCCAGCTGGCTATCTGAGGCTGGTGCTGCGTGCACAGTGAAATCATCATGGTAAAGTCATTTTCACTCAGTAAAACACAAAGTGTCCTCAAAGGCAGACTGCCAAAAACAAGCCAATGAGAGCAGCAGCAAAACTTGGCGTTCCTCAGGCTACCTTGTTAAGTCTACGCAGACAATGAGAAACAGTCGTGGCTGCTAGTGATTGAGACAGAAAACGAATGTGCACTGTGAAAGTACCTGTGGTCAAAGCTGTCGTTGTGAAGTAGACTGATTGTGTAGTGTCCACCTAAGCGGGCCTTACAGCTGGACTGTATTTGAAATAGTCAAAATTCAGTACATAGCATTTCATTTCTTTGTATTCATTCATTCATTTTCCGTAACCGCTCATCCTGTTAGGGGTCGCAGAGGGGCCGGAACCTAACCCAGCTGACACTGGGTGAGAGGCAGCGTTCATGATTTTATTAATTGAGATCACATGATTCCTTTCTATGCAACCAACTGGCAAATCTCATTCAGGACGCCCTGTTTAAACTGCTCTGGCCTGCCTACTGTTGCTGCTTCCTCTGCAACCCGCCTCCACCCCAGCTCCTCCTTTTCATGCTGTGTCTGATTTATCAATGTCATTTCTGTTTGTCATTGTTTCTGATCTGTTCTCTTCCCGGGGGGTCTTTGCTGCTGCTTTCCCTGCCTTAGGCTTTCCATGTAGGCGCATGGAAGGGCAGGGAGGTTTGCTCTCTCTGCCTTAGGCTTTCTTCGTTTCTATGCAGGCGTGTGGAAGAGGCTATCTGTGTAGGCCAGAGGAAAGGCAGAGAAGCCCCAGAACAGAGCCATACCGCCAGATATAATACTGTAAATGGATATAGAGTTTTCCTGACTGAATTAAGTTGGTGTGCAATGAAAACAAGCATTTTTGTGAGCGTGTGGTAATGAGGAAAAGGATGGGGAGAGAGAAAGACAAATTTTAATGTTTAATTATTTTTGCTTCTCCTGTGCGGAGGTGTCTGTGGATGCGGAGTCAAGAGTGGTGGGATCATGATGTGGACGGCTTCATTAAAACAGATTTCATCCAAAAGTCAGGATGTCAAAGCAAGGGCTACTTCTAACTACATATGTTAACGCTTCACCACAAGACTCTCCTGGCAGTCTCCTGGAGTGACATTAAAGTCACATGAATTTCAAAGTGACTGTTGAAACTAAGGTCACATTGCAAAAAAAATCAGACCTAGGACAAGTGCCAGAATTGAAAAGATCAGATTGTGTGTGATTTATGCTGTTCACACTGTTATGAAAAAGCAAATCTGAGTCACATACAAGTCAAAATATTAGAAGTACTAAAGTTAATTGAGTTCTGAGCTCTTCACACATTTCTCTTCTTCTTGCATCTTGGAAGTTGAGCCAGAAATCCACACTCTGCTTTACCAAATATCATGCACATTTTCAGTATCTGTAACAGTGATGTACTGAGTTTTGGGGAGAGACTTTACTTGGTTTAAGTAAGTTAAATCCTTCGCACTCCCAGGGATTTGGACTGTTTATCCAGAGAGCAGAGGGGGTCAGCAGGACAGGGGGATTATCACAGCATTACGCCTCAGAAAGATCAGCTGCTGTGACAAAGCCTAAAGCCACTCACATCTTGCTTCTTCAGTCACTTTAATCCGATATTTTTGTAAAGCACTTTGGACATCAGTTTTTCAAGCCCTATCCAAATAAAGATTATTAGAAGACAATTGTTCAGTACAAGAGCACAGACGGACAGTAAACAACCTCTGACTCTGAGGACTCTGAGAACTGTTGGCACTGCTGTAAAGCTCCACAGGAGCATGTCTCATGTCTCAGGGATGTTCCTCCTGCCTCCAGTGGTCCGTGTTATCCTCTGATTATTGGGTGGCTCCTCGCCAAACAAATCATGGTCTGTTTGAAACAACCCTCTGATATCAGTAAGCAGCTTTCACAAAGTGCCCTTCACCTGTAATTACCTCAGAGCGTCACATTAGTAAATTGGCTTTCGTTCACTTTCACTACCTCATTACTTTTTGAACAACCTGCGCAGCCCTAAAAAATGTTCACCCCTTTCATTTAGCACATTGACCCCTCCTTCATCGGCTGTATCTTCAGACATAATAACACTTCACATACAGTAAGTAATTTCACAGTCACATTGGCTCACAGGGTGTATATTCGGTTTTGCACAATTAGCACCGCAGTTTAAAACCTCCAGCAGCCTATTTGAGGTTTAATGATACAAATTATTAATCTTAAATTGCATAATTATTCTCAGTAGGCAAAAGGATCAGCGAAAGGAAATTGGATACGCGCCTTTGGTCATACACGCTCGCTGTTTTCACCCAGCAATCTCACGCTGAGTGTTATGGTGCAACCTGTTGACTTAACAAATGGTTTTCATTTTCGGATGACGTCAAGAAGCAGCCCTATCTGAGCAGCTGTCAGTTCAAACTAAACAGACCTGATCACAAAACAAACAAGACTGAAAGCAGTTTCTTTATACAAGATAGAAAATATCACACACATGATGGCATAGCAAGAAAATGATGGTATTTGTTCATGTTGCAGGGGAGAATGATGAAATGATGTGTTAATTTCCATCTTTAAATAGGAATGAATTGGACGTCTCCTGCATGAGTAAGTATTGCGCTCTATTGAAGTAATCACATCTATGAGCAGAGCTGAGCTCCAGCTGGCACGAGCCCAGTAAAATCCCTGGTGATCGTTAAAACTAGAGGATCATTTGCATTTAGTGTGCGGGGGTCTCTTAAAGTTGTGGGAAAGAACTGGGCTCAGTGGGCTGTGTGAAGTATTGAAGTGTGTAATGTAGTGAGGTGGAAAAAACCTCCCCCACTACGTTCCAACTTGTTTTAACTTCTCCACGTAACAGAGGGGTGAAAGAAGGGCTAAGATAAAGAAACACCATCTGTGTTGGAAGAATGATGTTAGGATAACTTTTATTAGAGTAGGAGTAAGACAGAGCAAGATGAAAACTCCTAAAAATACACATCAAGAGACAAGTAGTGAAAGTAAATTTGTTGAATTTATTCATTGATAGCTTATGACCACATCCCTCAGGGAGTTTTGTGGGGGGCACTGCAGGATTACGGGGTACCGAGGTTGCTGCTATGAGCCATCTGGTCCCTGTATGACCAAAGTGAAAGCTGCGTCTGCACACTCGGCATACAGTCAAACAAATTCTCTATGGGTGTTGTCCTCCACCAGGGTTGTCCCTTGTCACCAGTCCTGTTTGTGATATTCACGGACAGGATCGTGAGGCACAGGTGGGGGGAGGAAGGGGTCTGGTTTGGGGACCTCAGAATCGCATCTCTGCTTTTTGCAGATGATGTGGTTCTGTTGGCTTCATCACACCGTGACCTCCAGCAAGCACTGGGGCAGTTTGCAGTCGAGTGTGAAGCAGTCGGGATGAAAGACAGCACCTCCAAGTCTGAGGCCATGGTTCTCTGCTGGAAACCGGATTGCCTCCTCTAGGTTGGGAGAGAGTTACAGCCTCAAGCAACGAAATTCAAGTATCTCAGGGTCTTGTTCGCGAGAGAGGGTAGAAAGGACGAGATGGATTAGCAGTTTGGTGCGTCGTCTGCAGTGATGCAGGCACTGCGCCGGACCGGTGGTGAAGAGGGAGCTGAGCTGAAAGGTGAAGCTTTTGATTTACTGGTCCATCTACGTCCCAACCCTCACCTATGGTCATGAGCTCTGGGTAGTGACCTAAAGAATGATATTGTGGATACAAGCGGCTGAAATGACTTTCCTCAGAAGGGTGGCTGGGCTCAGCCTTAGAGATAGGATGAGGGGCTGGGAGTAGAGCTACTGCTTGTTCGTGTCTAAAGGGGTCAGTCGTGGTGGTTCGGACATTTGATCAGGATGCCTCCCGGCCACCTCCTGTTAGAGGTGTTCTGGGTACATTCTGCTTGTAGGAGGCCCCGGGGCAGACCCAGAACTCAGTGGAGCTACTACATATCTCCTCTTGCCTGGAAACTCCTTGGGGTCCCCCAGGAGGAGCTGGAAAGTGTTGCTGGGGAGAGGGACATCTGGGGTGCTTTGCTTGGCCTGCTGCCCCTGTGACCCAACCCTGGATAAGTGGAGGAAAATTGATGGATGGAAAGATGTTCACTGAAGAAAGTATTTTTGTGAACTGTGATCTCTGCCTTTTATTGCACATCCAGGGGGGCTCAAAAGCTCCAGGTTCACTGTATGAAAATTAGTTTAGGTAATGTGAGTAAATATGAATTTGTTGTGAAATTTGTACCACTAAAGCAGTGACAGGTCTTCCTGTAGGAGACATAGGTGCCTGCCTAAGGCACCACTGCGAACACAAAGGAAAGAATGATACAAATATCTGATGCTATGTATACCTGATGTTGCGTTCCTCAGGGAAATGCCCCTTCTCCTTTAGATGTAAATGGACAGCCAAGTCTTGAGCTTAGGAGCCGGCTCTCCTGTGCTATGCCATGCGCACCACTTATCATGCACCTACAATGCAGTCTTGGGATCCCTCTCCAGATGACTTAACACACACCCACACCTGGACCCATCTAACCTTAACGACACACATGATGGCCTGGTGAGTCACCGACTCACATGTGACCTTTACGATTCTGAAACTCAGAGCTCACGTGTGACCTCAGTGACTCTGTAAGGGTTCACACCCACACAGAGTTTAAAGCCTGCGACTCCACACCGGTCAGTTAGAACTGAAGAAGAACTTCTTGGATGAGGGGTGAAACGTCTTTAAGAAACTCTAGCAAGTCCAGTTGCCTACAATATAGCACTTAAGATTACCATGACCTGAATGACTGAGAATCTTCACCAACATTTTTTTTGCTATTAATGAATTGCACCACAGTCACATGACTTAACGTCACCACCCCAACAAGGCTGTGAAGCCATGGTTGGTTTGATGACGTCCTGTAGTCTGATTTAGCCACTTGTTGGCAACATCGTTAGACACACAAAAGCTTCAAAGTTCACAAGTGGGGTATTTACTGATGTATTTTATGTCATAGGACAAAACATAAAAGTCTCTTAAGCACGTGTTAACCTTATTTCAGGCATCTAACCAAAAACCCCATGAAAGTACCCACTGACTTCGTGATGAGGGAGCTGGGAATGGTAAAATGCTAACTCTTTTCAGGGTTTTGGGACTCATTCCTGGAGCACTTAATTGTGATACCTTTATCGCTGTTGTACTCAAATGAATAATGCTCTCACATTAAGTTGTGTTCAATTAAATCTGACACACGGGAAACCTGGGGCCAAGAAAAATTCACTCCAGCACACTGTACTTAATTGGAACTTAGACATGACATTTGCATGTAATAAAAATAACACTGGTTTTTAAATTGATTTTCCACCATCTGTGCAGCCATTGCTTCCCAATTTCACTATGCAGTTTCTCTCAACACAGATATTATTATTAGTATTAATATTTGTTTTTAAAAGAAAGTTAGTTAGTTTGAGATAAGTACATCCCAATAAACAGGTCAGTGCCTTTATTTTTTTTTATTACTTTTCTTTTATTTGCATGTCAGAGCTATAAAAGCAGGGACTAATTAAAATTCTTTATAATTAATGCCTTTCCAGAAACACAGATGACAAAATTAATTACAACTTTTTCAAATTTCTGTGTATTTTGTCTTTGGAATTAGCAACACAAGCTTGTGCAGTCATTTAGTCTTGAATGTCAGAACATCCTTGAATGCACAAACGAGGAGAGTTTACAACGAAGTCAAGTGACATGAGAAGAAAACACCAGCTGCCATGAAAGCTGTAAATAAATTCAAGCTGTCACACTTTGACAAATAGTCTTTTAAGTGTGCACAGGACCTAAAATATGAAAAGATCTACAGGTTGAATATTTTGTTCTCGCTTCATGAAGCCTCTCTGACTCATCCACAGGTGGGTAAGATCCGAAAGACTGCAGCGAGGAGGAGAGAGTTCCACATACTGTTCATGGTTCTGACCACAGCGGCCTGCTACATGCTGTGCTGGATGCCTTACGGTATCGTGGCCATGATGGCGACGTTCGGCCCGCCCAACATCATTAGCCCAGTGGCCAGCGTGGTGCCATCACTACTGGCCAAGAGCAGCACTGTCATCAACCCGCTCATCTATATACTCATGAACAAACAGGTGAGTCAACGACAGGACAGTCTGACATGTACAACAGCTTTATTTACACAGTAAAAAAAGACAATTTACAACAGCTGAAATCATACAAATGGTCTATTTAAATATCAGTTCAAGTGTAAGAAGAGAATTCACTGACAAATCAAAGTTAAAGAGAACACCCTAAGGCTGTTGGGAGTGAAACGAGACCTTCACTCTTTATGTTCAATCATGGATACTTCTTTTTCTCTTCCTCTTTTCAGAAAGCTGCAGGAGGGACATGTACAAAAAGAAAATGTTGAACAATCTTTTAGAGGCAATGTGGTGCAGAAATTCCCACGATACTGAGTAAAAACAAGACATGAAAAATAGGCCTCCAGAGTAAAGAGTGGCGAGAAAGAGGCTGAGGGGGCAAAACCTAATGAGCAGTATCTGCGAATGTGTTTTCACATCTCACCACTCGCATGTTTCAGCATAACGTCCTGTATCTAACCCTGTCAATATAACTGTTGTCTCAAAGAATAAAAATTAAATTAAATTCCACCTTCCCAGAGAGAAGCAATAGCACCTCAGAAGTCCTGCTATTACTCTGAATCTTCAACCCACCCTGCTAAGACATAATTAAAAATGAATTTGGCACAATATTAAGATGCAAAGATGAAGGTGCCAGAATACATTGCACTGACACAAGTGCTCCCAGGGAACCATTATTAGCTGCACCGCAGCTGGATGTGATTTCCCCTTCAACAAGCATGCACTAAAATCTGCAAAACACCACTTAAGAAATAATAAAAAAAAATATCTTATAACACAATCGCCTCTCACGACATTAATGACAATGGTGTCTACTTGCAGCACGGTACAGCACAGACAGTTTAAGACTCTTAGCCCTGATCCTGATTTGCATGCTCTGTGCATTTCGAAAGTAATTCAGAGTTATTAGAAATATACATGTACAATATGTCCAGGGTTTTTGCACCTTCAGTGTGTTTACAATCACAAGCAATAAAACATCTTATCATTTACCTCAACTGAGAAACATAAAACCTATAGCAGGGCTGAAAACCTGCATGATTCAAAATGAATGAGAAATCTCCATAAGCTTCAAAAACTGGTTTGTTCAGGCTGTTTTTTAAACCTCTGTTACAGCTGCTGACTTCATTGGGTTCCTTGTTCCAAGAATCTTTTAACATGACATGCCAAACAGTCCATCTGAAACTGGGGCTGGTTATCAAACCTAACTACTGTGCACATTCAAAATGCGTCCATAGCGTAGAGTATTAAAACTGTAGAGTAGGGCTGGGCGACATGACCACAGATTTACCTAGAAACCATTTACTGTCAAGATACTTCTATACAGTTTCTACCAAGATAGCTGCAAATCAATGAGGAGAACTGCTTTGTGGCAATATTAGATTTACAGAATTTTGCATCAATGTGATGAAATACCTGTAATTCACTGAATTAGTCACTCACATCTGGTTATTTTAACTTCACATACACTCAGGTTCCAGTTTAGGGCCACCTAGCTAAAAGTTACATTTTTTAATGCGACAGCTCTGCAATAAATCCTGTATTCATGAACGGTATCATCTATTCTGAGAAGTATTTCTAATATTTTGTCCACTCCCATTTAATTTAAAGAGGACCTATTATGCTCTTTGTTATATTCTGTCATATTCAATAATGTTACAATGTCGGATGTTCATATTAAACGCCACCAAAATTTCAAATAACAAGGTAAACATGGAAAACGAATCCCTTTGTTCTGAATACTGTTTGTTTATTTCTACTTTGGCTACAAGATGACGGCAGATTGTGTCAGATTTCTTTATATGGTCATCTGCTCCAGGCATGCTTTTGCAGGTGTTTAGATTACATATTCTACAATGCTACATGTAGCTACATGCTAATATCAGGGATCATGTCAACGTGATTGCATTTGTTTTAAATTTCTCCCCAATTTCTGATCATATTCCGGCTGGAACATGTCCAGTTGTGTTTACAAGTTTTTACTGGTGACTTGTAACTGAAGAAAGTGCCAGTATACAGTCATTCCCCAGCTGCAGGTAGACTGCTAGATGTAGCTACATGCTAATATTAGGAAAACATGTAAACTCTGTTGCTGGTGTTGTTAAATTCTCCCCAGTGTTATATCACATTGCTGCTGAAGCATGTCAAGTTGTGTTTAGAAGCTTTTACTGGTGATTTTTAATAGGTGAAAGTGCTGTAGACTGCTACATGTAGCCACATGCCAATGTCAGGGAAACATGTAAGCTTGGCAACCAATGTTGTAAATTTCGCATCATGTTCCTGCTGGAACATGTCCAGTTGTGTTTAGAAGCTTTTTATTGGCGATTTGTTACTGGAGAAAGTGCCCATATACACATTCACTCCCCAGCTGCAAGTGGACTACATGTAGCTACATGCTAACATCAGGGAAAATGTAAACTCGATTGCAGAAGTTGTAAATGTCTCCCTAATTTCAGATCATATTCCTTCTGGAACATGTCCAGTTATGTTTAGAAGCTTTCATTGGTGATGGGAGACAGTGCTGCTATACACAGTCATTCCCCGGCTGTAGGTAGATGGCTACATGTAGCTACATAGTAATGTCAGGAAAACATGTAAACTTGGTTATCGATGTTGTAAATTACTCCCCAGTGTTGCATCATATTCCTGCTGTTGTGTTTTTGTAGCTTTTATTTGGGGGTTTTTAACTAAAGAAAGTGCTGGTAAACACAGACATTGCCAGTCATTCACTGGCTGCAAGTAGACTGCTACATGTAGCTACATGCTAATGTCAGGAAAACATGTAAACTTTGTTGCAGATTTTGTTGAATTCTCCCCAGTTTAGAATCATATTCCTGCTGAAACATGTTGAAACAGTTGTGTTTAGTAGTTTTTATTGGGGATCTTTACAATAGAAAGTGGCGCTATTCTCCGTTATGGTCATTGCCTGGTTGCAATGACGATAGAGAGACGCCGAGATATGAAAGACCCAGAAACGCTGACCAATCAGAGCAGACAGGGCCTTGTCTGAAGGGGGACTAAAAAGGTCAGATCCTAAAACAGAGCGTTTCAGACAGAGGGTGAATACAGGTGTTCAGCACAGACAGTTTGAGGATGACAGTGTTTCTTGAACATTAGAGCATGTAAACATGTTCGTGTACAAACCAAGTATGAACCTGAAAATGAGCACAATAGGTCCTCTTTGATGGATTAATTTTTGTCTACTGGACTTAGTTTGAGCAAAGTGTACCTAATAAACTGGCATGTAGTTTCCCAAAAGAACTTACAGAATTTACTATATCAGGATACACCATGTATCAATGTTGTAATATAAAATACCATAGCAGACGTTTTTATCTTTATTGCCCACCCTGACTGTCAAGTATCAAAAATTGGCGCAAAATACTTGGGCAGGTGTTTGTTTCCTTTAATCAGGTATTGCCTGAGTTATAAAAAGATCTTGTAAAAAAAAAAAATTAAATAAATTTAAAAAAAAAAAAAATGCATTATTATTTGGTATCAGCACAGTACTAGTTTGTAGAAGTACTGACACATTTTGGGTGATACCCAGCCCTACTCAACAACAAGTAATGTTAAGCCCCATAATCATCTACTACATACAACTACTACAGAACCATCTAATTCAATATACATCAGACACGTTTTCACATCTTATATAGAACCACAACCAATGGCACAGGAACATTTTGTAGATTAGCACACTTAGCTATAAAAATCTCTGTTATAGGCAAGATTTTTGTGACTGTCTGTAGCAAAAACCAACCTTCCTCTCAACACTGAACCAATAACCACAGATGTGGCACTGACTGACTGTATAAAAATCATCCTAGCTGGAGACAAAGCAAATCTGCTGATATTACCAGTTCAAATTCCATCTCCACTCTGAGCTGCGGACGAGTACAGGCCAATATTAGAGGATTCAGGAAGTATGAAACATTAATAGTTGTAGGAAATGAGCTTCGTGCTGTTACATGACAGAGAAATAACCCTGCACATACGCAACCCATACTGCAGTGGTGAGCTCGGGGAAGGGTTTGGCCGTTACACGCAGTGGTAAAATTACATTCAATAAAGAGTGAACTGACCGTCAAAAACAGGGGCTGGTGATTGCTGAGGCAGAGCTAAGAATCCCCTGATACAGCTCACTTCAGCAATATCAACTGCTCCACACCTCTCGCGGCAATTAAACTCCATGTTACTGCAGTCCTGCCACAGTATGTACTGCATGTACCTGAACAGTCACAAGGCAACCCGAGGAAAGTGTTCAGTCGACCACTAGGCACAGGGTTACAGCTGTTCTGAGCACCGGTTTGTTCTAAAGATCCATTTTGGCCCCGTTTGCTTTGATTTAATTGCGTTGTCAGTAAAAAATGTTACTACAGGTAGGGTGAATCCAAAAAAAAGGACAACCAGTGCCCTTACTTCCTGTGGGCTATTAACTGAGACAGGCTTCTTGACACTGAATGAGGAGTCATCCTAAACGTGTGGACAAGGAGCAACAGACTGGTGGGAGTGAGCCGGCAAAATGGCATGCGCAGGAGAGTAATTTTGTACTAAGCTCAACAACATCAGTAGTTTGAAATAAACCCCTCGTGACAAACACTAAACGACTTCTGATTGCACATGAAGATATCAGAGGAATGTCAAACAGGAACACCTGCTGCTGAGCGATGAAACGTACAGTAATATGACTGCTGTGACAGCCTGACTCCATCTCTGTGGAGACGCCTAAGCTGTCTTTCACACTGTGCGTTCTTCTGCATGAGTTGCTGCTCTATGTATATGTGTGAATGTGTGTATATTTGTGTGTGTGTGTGTGTGTGTGTGTGTGTTGCATTTATGACATTCAGCATGGATGACGTCTTTGCTTAATCACAACCCTTGGGACCAGTAAAAAAGGAGAAAAACAAATCACAAATATCCCCCGTTATAAACAGTGGCATTTCCTTTAAGTGGATGACCACCTGTACTTTTAAAAAACACAGTTTACACCAATGAAACACACCCAGTTATTGAAAATGTACTCGTCTATCTAAAAACAGATCTGTTGCTACCCTAGTCAGCTCCACAGCTAACGTGGCTCAGCTAAAGCAGAGAGAAACGTCTTTTTCCAGCTCCACCTCGGAGACTCTTCCTGCCAGTCTCTGGTCTAGTAAACCATCTCAGTGGAGACAAGTTCTTTCAGAAGCCTCCACGTTGATCCCTCCCTGGAGGGCTATGGCTTATGTTCTTCATGCGTCTAATTTAAAACCTATATGCTCCAGCGTCCTTGTCTCCAGTGGCTTTATTGCACCTCTCCCTTACTCAGCCAGAAAAGGCCAGAGTGTGTGTGTATGTTCAGGCTCAGAGACTCAGGTTTCATATCTCAGATGTCACAGTCGACGGTGCTGAAGCCCGGAAGAGTGACCCGTCCCTTCCTCCTGAGGTCACTCTCGGTGCCCGTGTTGATCCGCTGGATCAGGCTCTTCTCAAACAGGAGGGGATGGTAGGCACCCAGTGTACAGGCAACATCATAATAACGCTCGTGGTAGTGGCACAGGTCTGTCTGCCTCATGGAGGGAATGAACTCGTACACGTGCACCTGCTCACACAGCGCCATCATCAGGAGGATGCCTGCAATGGCAACAGAGAGAAAGACAGAGAAAGTTCAGGCATCCATATTCAAAAGTATTTCCTGACTTTAAACCTGTTGATGCTCACACTGCAAACCAGTTTAGGGCAATAAAGATACAACGGTCTCAAGAGTCCGTCCGTCCATCCCCTCAGGTTAAGAGTCTAGGTGTTATCCTGGACAGTACACTGTCCTTTGAGGCCCACATCAATAATGTTATTCGGTCTGCATACTTTCATCTATGCAATACTGATCGTCTTCGCCCGTCTAAGTGCTGGGCCCTGCTATCCTCGCTCATTCTTTGGTTACATCTCATATTGATTATTACAACTCTGTCCTCTTTGGTCTTCCTCCCAAGTGTCTTCATAAACTCCAGTTGGTCCAGAATTCAGCTGCCTGTATCACAACCAGACCCCCTCCATCTTGACTACCATGAGACCCTTCAACCGTTCTGCCTCCACCCCTGGAGCTTGTTCCCCCACAACATTTGCAGTATTGACTCCCTCTCCACTTTCAAATCCTGTCTGAAAACACACTTTTTCAAGCTGGCATATTCGGTGACATGCATATTGAGACTTGCACTGAATTTATACCTCATATTTATGACTACAATTTTTGTCTGGTCATTTTATTAACTTTGATTGTATATTGCAGAATTGTTTGATTTTATGATCTATGGACACATTACTGCTTGTGTCTTTTTTCCACTGTGTCTTTTAAAGTGTCCTTGAGTGCTTTGAAAGGCGCCTATAAATAAAATGCAGTATCATTATTGTTCAATCAATACCACATTTTACTTTCAAGTGTCAATTTATGAGCTGCCATTTTTTGTCAACCTCTAAATTGCATCTTTTTCCCCTCATTTCAGCTAGAAGTTCAGCAGTGCTCTCTTTTCACATTCACACAGTCATACACATTCACACCTTAAAGCTGGACCATAAAGAAAACACATCTGCTGGTCAGTGGGCAGCTCGACCAGAGCGATTGGGGATTAACGGAAAAGACTGACATTTTGGAAAATGGCCAATTTTGCTTTCTTGCCTAGAGTTCGAATGACAAGATCGATGCCATGCTTATGCAGAATCGCTCGTGAGTTGATATTGACCTGGTGTTTTTCTCCTCAGTTCTGGCTGTTGACCAAAACATCCTGCCTGAGTCACCACAGGACACACACACGTGCAATAATCCTACAGCCTGTACAGGAATCTGTAGCCTGCTTCCAGATTTCTGAATCTTTGCTCACATCTCAGACCTATTATAGCTTGACAGACAGGATAAACAATCTTTCTGCTTAATGTAGCTAGCTAGCCACCTAGATGCATCCATAAAAATAGCAACGGAATTATGACAACAAATGTGGATGAAATTATAATAATAAAACAGATTTACAAAGTGCTTTACATGTCAATAATTACAACAGACAAGACTCAAGTAAAATCAGGAATGGCTCTCCGATAAAAGTGTGTTTTAAGAAGGGACTTTAAAGACATCACTGACTCGGCCGACCTGATTTCCTCGGGCAGACTGTTCCAGAGCCTTGGGGCCCTAAAAGCAAATGCTCTGTCCCCCTTAGTTATCAACTGGAACAGACAAAAGACCTCTGCTGCCCGAGGACCTCAAAGTATGTCCTGGCGTGTGCGGCACTAAGAGGTCAGAGATGAAGAGCCTTAAAAGTAATCAGTAAAATCTTAAAATCTGTACTAAAACATACTGGGAGCCGGTGTGAAGAGGCTGAAACTGGAGTCATGTGATCATGTCTCGTTTGTTGGTAATTCAGTCAGATTATCAGATGCTGGAACCAGCGATACTTCAGACAGATTTTAAGGCCCTGCACTGACTACACACTGATGTATTTTTTACGGTCTTGCAAAAATAAAAAGGTGTTTTCAGCTTACTGTACATGTACATACCTCACCAGTCCTCATATAGGTTAGTATTAACATGCAGCGATACTAAAATGCACATCTGATTAGGGAAAGTCTTCCTCAGCATCTGCTACACGCGCTCCTTTGGGAAAAGCGTTGGTCGTAAAATATCCACTGCAGCTGCACAGCTTCAGAAGCTGAGGAATGCAATTACAGTACACTGGGCAGTTCAAATGTTCATATGTCATGATAAGTGTAAATGTAAAGTTCGGTTGTGCTGAAAAGGAGCACGCTCAGCAAAAACCCAACTTTAGATAAAGATAAAAATAGAGCTGAATACATAAAATATGGAGACGGTGCCTGCCTCAGCGTGTTCTGCATGGTATCTTTCATACGCTGACATGCTGCCTGTGCCAACACGGAGAGCAGTCAGCGCCCACATATGCGGTTAGCCTTTGTTGTTTTTCATTCCACTTCCCTTTGAACAATGTTGCTGATTTCAGTTTATCATTTTCTCTCTGGTGATTGTTATTCTGCTTGCAACTCTCCTTCTCCGTTGTTGCTCTCCAGCAGGATCACAATCACAAAAAATAACAAAGCAAAATCCTTCCTACAGAATATATAGGCATGTTGTGTTCTTTGCTACAGCATTTTCTCTGTAGTGTGTTTGCAACCCAGTTGGCCTCGTATTGCTTTCTTCAGAAGATCCAGAAGTTTGATCTAATTCAGCCCCAGTTTCACTGTGCATTAGTTAACCTTTGGTGATATGATTTATTGGAACAACAGCAAATCTTTGCCCCGAGGCCTCAAAGAAGGTCATAACTAACTGCCAGATTACTGTTGCACAGCTAATATTATCAAGCTAGTTTTAACAGCTCCATATATTTTTAATTAAATCAAAGTAAATTAAGAAAAACCTGTGGCGCCCCCTGAAACTGCTATAACATTTTTTTCAGTCATTTTATAGTATTTTTCAGACATGTAATCAACAGCTCTTTGGATCATTTTATTAATACTGTTTGGAATTTTCAAAAACATTTTATTAATATCTTTTAGACATTTCGTCAACATTTTTTGGACATTTTATTTTTTTCTGAAATTGTATTAATATTGTTTGGACATTTTAAATAATATGTTTTAGTCATTTTAATAGTATTTTGGGGACATTTCATCAACATTTTTTGGACATTTTATTACCATTTTTTCGGACATTGTATTAATATTTTTTGGACATTTTTAATATTTTTTTTTTAGTCATTTTATATCTTTCGGACATTTAATCAACTTGTTTTTGGACAATTTCTTGAAGATGCAACATTTTTTGGACATTTCATTACCATTTTTTCAGACATTGTATTAATATTGTTTGGACATTTTTAATAACATTTTTCGGAAATTTGAATAATATTTTTCGGACATTTAATCAACATTCTTTTGGACTTTTTATTCACATGTTTTGTGAATAATATTTTTCAGACATTTAGTCAACATTTTTTTCTGACATTTAATTTTGGACATTTTTATTACATTTTTGACATTTTCTCACCTGATTTTCTAAGTTGTCCAATCTTGACCTAATTTTCTCATAATTATCAACATACTGATCAAATTGAAAGAAAATCTCATCAGGTGCAATATGCATTTGTAAATTCTGATTAGCCCTTACAACACAGTCCAAAAACCAATGAAAACACATTTTTCCAGTGAAATGACACTGTAATTAGCTATGTTTGTAGGGGTGTTGAAAAAAACATTAGATTCTTAGATGGATAATGATTTTCTCTTGAAAGATTATGTCTTGACACAGAAAAGTAAATGATCAGGGGCCATATTCACAAAGGTAGTGACGAAAATCTAAAAACATTCAGATGCTTTCTTAGAATTTCCCCTTAAATTTAAGACTAGGTCCTTAGCCCTTAAAAGAGCTCCTAAGGCGAGTGACTAAGAGAGAAAGTAGGACTTTTGAGAGGCTTAAGAGTTTCTTAAGCAGAGGGGAAAATGGTGGAAACACACTGAGGTCAGAAAAGTATTCTCCAAACACTGGATGACAGTGAGTAAATTAAATGCTCTGAGAACTTTCCTAAATCACTTCTAAACTAGGACTCCTTACTAAAAGTTTTTAGACTAGATTGGGAGCTCTCTGAATGTTTGAGAATATGCCCCCAGAAATTTAAAACCCCATGTGTTCACACTTTAAGCTACAGTACTTCTAGGTTTTGGTGAGGATGGCTCAGTGTAAGCAACCGCAGATGGATTCAATGCCACTGACATCCCCTGGCTTAAAAGCTAGCACATTAATAATGGAAATAAATTCATCCGTTTATTTTAATTATGTATTATTACAAATACACCGTGCTTTAAGAGTAGCAAGTAGTCACACTGAGAGAAGTAAATCATATATAGAAATTAAAAATTCTGATGCATCAAGATGCACAAATAATTGTCTGATAATGGCATCATAGCCATTTGAATTGCAATTAAATCCTGAGGTGCATAGAAATTTGTAGCCTGATGTGTTTGTTCTTCTAGGTTTATCACTCAAGCCATTACAATCAGTAAAAAAGTGATGGAGTACTGGCTATTGCATGACAAAGATAACGTTTCAGAATTCGTATCTGCATGTCATATTTGTCTGTAGTAATGTCTCCCATTAATGTGCAGGCAATAAGTGCTGACAATCCAATTACTCGAGTTGTTTTAACTGATTTATGCTGAAGCAAAAGAATGATGACCAAAGGGAAAGGAAAAAAAGATATGACATGAGCCATTACCTCGCAGCATTCAGAAGGCACAGAGCAAACACTTCTATTTCAGACAGCAGCTCTCAGACTGTTCAAACTACTGAAGGTCAAACTAACCACTAAGTGTTATGAGACCACCTACTCCGCAAGTACAACAAGACATTAGGGGACCATTTTATCCTCTCAAGCAGCACTTCCTGTGGACTGTGAGGACATGAAAGTGCACTACGGCATGATTTCTGCCCAATCAAACTCAGCAGACCTTGAATCTCTCTGAGAGCATGAAACCGAGGTCAACCTGTTACTGTTGAGTACAAGAACTCTCCGTTTGGGCTGGTACTGTATGTTGTGCTGACATTATCTGTCTTTCCATATCCTTCGCAGTTCTACAGGTGTTTCCTGATTCTGTTTCACTGCGATCACTGGTCAGCGGAGAACGGCAACACCTCCATGCCCTCCAAGACCACCGTAATCCAGCTGAACCGCAGAGTCTACAGCAACACGGTAGCCTGCACCGCCCAGATCTCCCCCGCCAACCAGTGTTGCAGCACCTCAGCCACCAAGCACACAACCCCCCCAAAGTCACTACCTGAGGCTGAATTAACAACGTGACCAGACAGGAAACTCAAGTCGTGATGAAGCAGTGATTGCTCAGCTTCACAGCTACACTTACAATGTGAACTGCCATTGAATGTGAACTAAAGCATGATGCATTTAGAAAGTAAATGTACATTATATGTGAGTTTGTGTTTGTCCTTGAGCTTTTGAAATGTACAAGACACAACAGAACTAAATGTCTGGTGGCACAGATATTTTATATGGCCAAATGTATGTGGACACTTGAACCTTTATGCCATTGTGGAACATCTCATTCCTAAACCATGAACAGCAGTTCAGCAGCAGCTACTATAACAGTGTCCACGTATCTGGGAAGATTCTACAAGATTTTGCTCCTATTTGGCTGCAAAGCAAGTTCCAGCACTGAAGGTGGGTGATAATACCTTGCTCAGATTCGGCTCCCAATTCATCCCAAAGGATGTTTCAAGGGTTTAGGTCAGAGCTCTCTGCACCAAGTCCCGAAAACCATTTCTCTAAGATTCTTGCCTTGTGAACAAGGAATATGTAATGTAAAGGATGCTCTCGGAAAAATGCAAAATAACGTCTAAAATATTGTTGTGTGTACAAAGGAAAGACTGCAAACAAGACGAAAAGTACACAACAATATTCAGACATCTACTTTTGGCCATATAGAGTGCTTAACCCTTGTTTATAGGTCTATCCATCCAGGAAATACTATTGTTTAAATAGTCATTGTTTGATCAATTCCAAATTGTAATAATTGATATTAAAAGGTTTAATCAATGTTGTTCAAAGCACATTTTCTCTTATTTACAATGGAACCAAGGTGGAAATGTTTTGGGAAATATCTTCAAATCTGTAAGGGTGCTTTCACACCTGTCTTGTTTGGTTCGGTTCAATCGGACACAAGTTCGTTTGCTGCCTAGGTGCGGTTCGTTTCGATGGGTGTGAACACAGCAATTGCACTTGGGTGCACACCAAAACAACGGGATGGAAATCTTCTTGATGAGGTGGTCTCGGTCCGGTTACAAAAGAATTATTTCGGAATATTAATGTGCACCTCCTCCTGTGCTGCCTTAATATGCGCATTCAGCACATCCAATGCATCAAAACATTGTTTTCTAGTTGGAGCCGCGCCTCATTTTCAAACTGTATGGTTTGACTAAAATGAACAATGACAGCAATATAGTCCACGATGAGCAGCGCTAAAATCAACCTGCGTAGTTGTCCCTCCATTGTGACATTAGAAAGTGTCGCATTTATCTTGCAAGTGTACTCTTCTTCAATGTTCCTGGATTTTTCCCACATGGAAATTCTGACCAATCAAGAGCAGCTTTCTTAAGCAAGGAATTTATCTGGTCCGCTTGTAAATGCTGCCGTGAGAACACGAACCAACTCTAGGTAACTACTTTTGTTACAACTTTGTAACAAAATTAGTCCCTGATTCAGACCAAAGCAAGACAACTCTAGGTCTGAAAGCACCCTAAGTTTTAAGCATTTTGTGGTTCATCCCAACTCTTGTTTCTTGAGGATTTCCAAACCAAGGTGCACACCAACTTCAGTGGGGTTAATTTTAGAATGACAACACCTTTCTTTACCATTAAAATGTAATCACTACAAAATCCAAGTAACTTACAAATTATAATATATAATAATATTTTTTATGTGAAATATGAAATACAGTTGTTTTTTTTCCAACCATTTTTTCTACAAAGCAAAAACCCGGTGCCTATTCTCTGTTGCTCTCCAGTCAGTTTGTCATTGTGCTGCTGTAAATGCCGAGGCTAGTCAGTCATAGAGTCGTGCTTCTTCAGTGTTTCTTAAATGGATTGATGTATTCATCAGTTAACTGCCGTCCTTTCCTTCTTCTTTACTTCAAGCCTCTGTGATGCTCTGACTGTAAAAAATTCTCACACTGAATTCATCTTTTAACTTGTATGGGACTTTGCTCGGTTATTTTATTTATTTTTACTTTTGTGATAGTGTTTTCTCTTTAATGTGGTTACTTTGTGTTATTGCATGATTTTGTGGACTGTGTCCTTGTACATTAAATTCAAAATTGATCAGAAGTCATGGAGAGACTGCTACTTATATTTGTAAGTAAAAGAACTTCACCCTCTCTGGGAGTGACTGATCACACCCGTAGTCTCACTAGGGAGAGAGTGGAGGCTATGGGAGGTTTCCATCAAGTTAAAGGAAGAGGAGCACAAGGAAGGGGCTATGGGACAACTACAGGCTCATACTTCAGAAGAGGCCACTTTGAGATTGGAGAAAAGCAGCAATGTTTGACTTTGACATCTCAAGTCCGACCAGCCAACGAATAATGGTGTGCACAGAGGACACTGTGCAGGCTGTGATGCAACACATGCAGAGCTAACCTAAAGAATAAAAGCTTCTTGAATGTGTGTTGATACGAGGTTGAGAGGGTCTCTCTTTATATTGTCCACTGTGTTCTAGACCATAAAAAACAGAATGCAGTACAGGGAAGTGGAACACACAGGCTGCTGAAATTAAATGTCCCTGAGAGAAATAAGAAACAGGTAACGCATGTTTGATACAAACTCGAAATGCTTTTGCTTTGCTCTGAAACAGTGGCGGCTGAACTCACTGCAGGGTGGTCATTTTATTGTATTTTATTGTTGGTTTTAGTTATTTTAATAAATGTCATTGCTCTGGAAGAGGATTACTGTGTTGCTGTATTTCAAAAGAGGCTGGCAGTCCTTGTGAAAATGGTATGAGAAAAAAAACAAACTATGAGTCTGAGGAAAATGCAATTTTCTAAAAGTGATGTGAAGCTCTGAGAGAACATTAAGTTTTAAACTTTGACAGCAATTAATTAACAATTAATTAAACTGCTCTGGCCTGCCTACTGTTGCTGATTCCTTTGCAAGCCGCGTTGCAACCCACCTCCACCCCAGCTCCTCCTTTTCATGCTGTGTCTGACTCATCAATGTCATTTCTGTTTGTCATTGATACTGCTCTGTTCTGTTCCTGGGGGTCTTTGCTGCTGCTCTCCCTGCCTTAGGCTTTCTGTTTAGGCACATGGAAGGGCAGGGAGGTTTGCTCTCTCTGCCTCAGGCGTTCCTCGTTTGCACATGGAAGGGCAGAGAGCTGTGCTCTCTCTGCCTTAAGGCTTTCCATGCAGCCTTAAGGCTCAGATAGATGCAATCCATGGATGCTTCACAAACATCTTCCCCCGACAGCACAGAAGATCCATACAATCAGCACAGTTTCAAGGTGGAAACCCAAGATTAGTGTCACCAACTCAGTACTTGATCAAATGTCTCACCTTCTGTTCCTGAGATATGACATTGAGTAATGGCCAGAGAAATGTCTTTGCACAACATGATGATGTCACAGTAAAGTTGACCCATGACTTTTGGATATAAAATGGCATCAGGTCCTCATTTATCTTCTCAGAAATAGCCTATGAATTCCTGAATTATTGCCAAAAACATGTTTTGTGAGGTCACAGCAACCTTGACCTTTGACCACCACTTCTAATTAGTTCACGTGAAGATATGTGCAAAATTTGAAAAAAAAAGGCCCTCGAGGTGTTCTTGAGATATCACGTAAATAACAGAGACAGATGGAGCCATAGTGACCATGACCTTTGACCACCAAATATAATCAGTTCACTGATTTAGCGGACGTTTGTGCCAAACTTTAAGAAATTCCCTCAAAGTGTTCTTGAGATATTTTGGTTACGAGAATGGGACAGACAGACAACCTGAAAACATTCACATTCATTTGCTCGAGAGGTAGAAAACATACAATTACCAGAATGCATTCCACCACATCTGATTTTATCAGCACTGCTTAGTTTTACCGTTTGATCTCGTTTTTTTCCAGCCTCCGTTTTGGTAACACAGGAAAAAAAGTATGGCATTCACTTCATGTTCACAAATTCTCATTTTACAGCCAAACTAAACTAAAGTCTGTTACTAAAGACATTTAAGGTGAGAAATGGGCAAAGCTCTCTCTTGATCCGCTTCTGTACTCTTTGTGCCTTTAGTGGTGGGCATAGCAGAAGAGCAAGGAGATCTGGGCACTGTTAAGATGGAAGGGAGTTTACCACAGTTCATTTACACATACTACCCACATTGCTATGATAGGTTGTTGAAAATCAGCAAAGTGTCCCTTTAACTGCACATCTACATAAATTAAACATTAAAATGCAACACTAATCTTTGCAACACTAATCTTTAAGTCAAATGATTGTGTTTTGGTAGACAAAGCTTGTTCTGTGATGAGTCCTTCTGCGGAAAGAAGGCAGATCCTCCCCCATGGCATCTCTGCTAACAGATGGCAGTGTGTCTCTTCCCTCTTTAGCCATAATGACTGTATTTCTCCAAAAGGACAAAAAAAAGACCACAACGCCCTCCATTTAAAACACAGCCATGGCACCCGAGCGGAAAGAGTAATTGACGCCCCACATACTAATTTCCTGTAAAAAAAAAACTAAATAAATAAAAATCTGGCTCCTGTTCCTGTTGAGAGTTGCATGTACTTAATTTAACTTACCATGTACAAAAGTGTCTGCCAAATGAATGTAGTGTGAAGTAATGAATGTTTGGAGGAAAACACCGGCCAATTTGCACGCTTTAGTAACGCAGCAATAGGTGACAAGTGATGTCAGTTTCTATTCATAGATGGTCCCAAATAATGGACAAGTCTCTAATGGCGAGGGGGGTTGTTTGTCCTCTACTAAAGGCTAACAGCTGGGTAAAAAAAATTATTTATACATACAGCTTATAACAGAATTAATCAGTAAGCAGTCTAATTTGCAGTATGTGCAGCCTACACTCAAAGTAACACAACAAGAATAGAAACAAAAGATTCATGCGAGGAACATGGTGACATTTCAATTTGATTAATAACGACACAAGCAGTGAGGCCGTACAATTCATTAGGGTTTGTGATTAAGTTTAAAGCCCTGCTGCCTTTCACTCAAGCTATCTAATCAGCGACTACATAAAGTTATCTGCAATCAGTTACTGCAATCAGGACAGAAAACAAGGTTTGATTCAGTTCCAACAGATCGAAGTATGACCTGTGTCTCCTCTGTGGTTAAATTGAGCTTGTGTGGACTCAGGTGGTGTCGTCTATCAGTGTTAGAGATAGATTCTGATAACCTACCGGTATCTTGTCAATAATAAATCTTTTTTGTGTGTGTGACAGGGTCAATAATCTGTGTTTTTCCTGTCATATATTTGCCTTTAGCCTTGTCTAATCAATGTTGGTCAGTCAGTCTGTGTGCTACTTTGGTTCAGACTGAAATATCTGCTGGATGGATTCCCATGAAATGTACAGACATTCAGGATCCCCAGAGTGTTTAAACTAATGGCTCTGGCAATCACCTGACTTTTCCACTAGTGCCACCATGAGATTTAATTTTGTGGAAAATTAATGGCACTCCTATCAGCCTTTTCTTTAAAGCAGCTATAACTGGGCCTCATTCACAACAATGGGCCTCATTCACAACTATCTCCCTACGTTTCTTCTTAAATTTGCTCTTAACAAAGGTCCTAAGAAAAGTCAGATTCAAGATGTGTTTGTAAATGGCAGAATTTTTTGCAATGATAATCCCACTGTCTTCGTAACTTGAAAGCGTGTGCCAGTTGATCCTATTTAGTATTAGTAAATACCCTGATAATCCCCCAAAAAAGGCATGAGACTGCAGGGCTGTGTGCGTATACGGAAACCGAAGAAGTTAATTAAGTCAAGACAGCCTTAAGTTTGAAGAGGGTGAAGCACCAGACTCCAACCATTAAAAAAAACCCCCCTCTGTTATGAAGTGGAGGTACTTCTGCAGAAAGTGAACACCAAACACGCTTTCATATTAAGAAGTGTCAGAAGTGGATGTAAAAATCACACAAAAAGATGCACGGAATGCTAAAAATACGCATTAATCAACCATTCGTCCAGAAAACCACAAACTGTGCCCATTATAGTCACACAACTGTCAGGAGAGAGACAAGTGCGTGTGTGTTCAGACAGAGGGGGAGGCGTGTTTCTGTAAGTTATTAATAACTTTGAATGCTGCTTTGTCATTTTTTTTGCCTGCCCACCCAAACTACCCGTGATATTTTAGAGCGTAATCAGTGACTAATCATTAGATGGCATGGTCCCCTTTAACGTAACTGATGTGAATTGAAGAGTTAGTGTTGTGCTTACTTTAAAAGACCATAATCCTTTTTTAAATAATGAAAATAATTCTTAAAGATATTATTAATTATTTTTATTTATTTATTTATTTTATTTTTACCGAAGAAGAAATCCCAAATAAGAAAACATTGGTGAATGTAGGAATCTTCGTAAACACTGCCAAAGTGGGTTTTATGGATAATTTTCTCCTTAATAACAGTTGGTGAATGAGGCCCGTTCTATCAAATGACAATGTCAAAACAATGCAACAAGACAATACAGAGAATTATCATCTTAATCTGCAGCTCCCCTCAGCCTCCCACTGGGCATACACTATGATTTGAGCCCGTTTGAACCGATTTTTGAGCCACACGACTAATCTTAAAGTCCAACTAAATTTCAGTCTCATTAGGAGTTTTTTGCCGTGCAGTGTACAGCGAGGAACAACTGTGGCCCAATCAACTACTCCCAAATGGATGTCGGACACGTGGATGAATTTCTGACATGTCAAAAACTCTGGTCGGCCATCGCCAGGCTCTTGCACAGCTGAAGCAGAGTTAGGAGTCGATTACCGAAGGTCGGTGCTTTTTTTTTCCCCCTCACACGATCAGTTACACAGTGTAGCTGATATCCAGCTAGTTCACTGCCGCTGCTAACTTGCTCCTTTGTGTGGTTGTGTATGGTTGTGTATGTGTGTGTGTTGGTGAGAGACCGAGACAGAGGGAGACTAGAGAAGACAGGCTGTGTCAGCTCTGTCCTCAGAGACAGGTCGAGACAAAGCAACAGTTCCTGCTATAATGTAGCACATATGAAGACATCAAAGCAAAATGAAATGTAAACTCCAAGATTTTGATTCACTCTCTGACCAGACTAAAATGCTTGGAGAGAATAATGTTAGCGTGTATGTCACAGCCTGAGAGACAACCAACACGACAACAAATCGTTCACCTCCTCACAGATCACACTCTGCCTTTTTATTTACTCATTCACGTAATACTTTTTTTTCCTTTAAAATGTTTGTCTACACATTTGCAATAAGACATTGTTGTTAATTGTTTCTGAATTTTCACTGTGTTAAATTATAATAAAGCTTATTGAATTGAATTGAACTGAACTGAATTGAATTGAACTGATAGAGGAGCGGGGGAATAAAGACTTGGACTAACCCGTTTCTGCAGAAATGGACTTATAAGCTTTTTTTGAGATCTGTCGCTATTGTCATTGTGAACCCTACCTCCACTAGCAATCACACTTCACCATGCCTGCAGCCTTGAAGCATTACAACAATTCTTTATTGACAATTGTCAGTGGCCAGATCAGTGTGCACGGCCCAAAGGACTGTTAAGCTGTCCATTTTACATGTATAGTGTGAGCACTAAGGTCAGGGCTTGAGTACACAGTGTTCTCTTCCTACTAAAGCAACTGAATGACAGATAATAATGACTCATAATAATGACTCAATTGATGTAATACAAAAAGAGAAGTCCAATGAGTCTAGCTACTGTGTAGAGAATGTGAAGGTACATCACGCTGTGGAACAAGGACACCATCTCTGAGGTAAGCGTGTTGTTATCTCTATAGTTAAGACATATTTCACAATGTCCAGGTTTGTGAGTGGAGGTAGTGCATCAGAGTCTGTATTCCACCCTTGGCTGCCAAGTCATAAGACTCTATATTGTTTATTGTGATTACTTTGTCCGAATAAAATTGCTTGACCACCACAGTTGGCACAATAACACAGCGCATCCTTTTCAGACAAGACATGATGTCATATTCACATTCCCTACACTGTTATGTTTCTACAGAACATCATTTTAAATCACAGATCTAAAATTCCTTTAAAAATAATTCTCTACATTGAGGTTTTAATTCAAGAGCAAGTGAAGGGAGGCATGCAGAATCTAAAAACACCAAGGTTTACGTCACTCTATTGTTACATTTTACAATACAGAATCTGTATTACCAAACATCATAGTGACAACCTAACACTGCTCCGAGGCAATAAGAAATCATTCTCGACAAGTACATACAATATCAGGAGTAAAAATGTCACTCAGTACTGAGAGTCAAGCGTAAGAATGATGGTCTGTCTTGCACCTGGTGTGATTGGATATATTACGTTATATAACTGCGTAAGCATATTGAAATGTCTGAAAATTATAGTGGTAGCATCTGACATGAGAGGATATTGACATGCTGGAGCATTCCTAAGATGAGCTGACAGTGGTCACATTCCCGCTAACCCCTGCGTGGATGTGTTGCTTTGGAGTGCATTGCATCGCCATGCTGCATGCTGATAATGTTGCTGTGCATACAGAAGATAAATATTTCATCATGACTTAGCGTGTGTGTTTGTGTTTGCATCTTTATCTGCTCCAGGTGCAGGCAAGGAAATGGCAAGGTAAGAGTACAGAGGAAACTACAGGAGAATCGACGTGCACTGCATGCATAGCAGCTGTATGTATGCTTGTGCGTGTGTACTCACCTGTGAAGCCAGACGAGGGAGGATTGGGCTGGATATTCTCCTGAGTGTTGCCCTGAATCACATCCCAGAGTGCCCACACGTAGCTGGGGTGAAGAATGTAAAAGGGCTGGTCTGGATGGAGCTTGCGGTGCTCCTTGTATGGACCAAAAAGGTTGAAGTCTGGACTGGCATACCACTGATGAAGAAAGAGAGACAAACAACTAAGTCCAATCCTTTGATGAAAACGCTGTCTGGACTTTTACTGACTCTTATTCCTCTGGGTTTTTAGTTTACTCTTCTCCACTCTGATCAATAAACATTTTTTATATTTTTTCACATAGCCCAATGAAATCAATATGGTAGTCATGAAGCAACATATATACGTAGACGGTGTATTAACTGTGTCAGCCCGTTAAAGCTATACATCAGCATCGCCGCTATGTTAGAGAGAGAAAGACTTGTCTGTAAACAAATACAAGTAATAGAGGGAGCAGCGTTTTTTCTAGATATAGAAATAGAAATAGAAAGCCTTTATTGTCATTGCACAGGAACAAAAGGATGCTACATATACAACAAAATTGCAGGGGCTACTTCTAAGGCGCAGATGAAAAATACAGATAAAAGCACCCTTATGTTTATACATGTTGTTTTTTTGGATTTTCAAACAAAGTGGATCATTTCTGTTTGTTTCTGGCTGCCAGCAGGTGGCGATAGCTAACATAGCTAGCTGTGTTGTATGCCTCCGAGCACCAGTCAATCTACACAATCTATACAATCAGCACAGTGGACACCAAAGATTAGTGTCACCAATTCAGTATCTGACCAAATGTTTACACTTATGTTCCTGGGATATGACCTTGAACTGACAGTTGACCTTTTGGATACAGAAAGTCATCACTCAATTATTTCATCCTATCAGACATTTGAATTCTTGAGTTAGGGTCACACTGACCATGACCTTTGGCCTTTGAACAACAAAATCTAATCAGCATCCTCAAGTCCAAGTGAATGTTTGTGCCAAATTTAAAAAAAAAAAAATCTTCAAGCTGTACTTGAAATACAGCATTCACAAGAATGAGATGGATGCAAGGTCATAACACCACCAAAATCAAATCAGTCATCAAGTCTAACTGAATGTTTGTGCCTAATTTGAGGAAATTCCCATAAGGCGTTCTTGAATTATCATGCTCTTGAGAACAAGACAGAGAAAGTCAGAGTGACCTTGGCCTTTGACCTATGATAACTACAATCGAATCAGTTAATTGCTGAGTCTAAGTGAACATTTATAACAACTTTGAAGAAATTCCAGTTTTTGAGATATTGCGTTCATGAGAATAAGACAGACAAGGTCACGGTGACCTTGACCTTTGACCCTCAACCACTGAAATCTAATCAGCTCATCTTTAAGTTCAAGTGAACGTTTGTGCCACATTTGAAGAAATTCCCTCACGGCATTCTTGAGATATCACATTCACAAGAATGAGACAGACAAGGTCACAGTGACCTTGACCTCTGACCTATGACAACCAACATCTAATCAGTTCATTGTTGGATCCAAGTGGATGTTTATACAAATTTGAAGAAATTCTCTGAAGCTGTTTTTGGATATTGCATTCATAAGAATGAGACAAATGCAAGGTCAGAGTGACCGTGACCTTTGACCCCCAAAATATAGTCAGTTCATCCACAGGTCTAAGTGAACGTTTGTGCAAAATTTGAAGAAATCCCTCATGCTCTTCTTGAGACAATACAGGTCACAGTGAACTTGACCTTTGACCCCTGACCACCAAAATCTAATCAGCTCCTCCTCAAGTCGAAGTGAACATTAATACCAAACTTTCTCTAGGTGTTCATGAGATATCGTGTTCACAAGAATGAGACAGACAAGGTCAGAGTGACCTTGACCTTTGACCACCAAAGACCTCAGTGCATTGTTGAGTCCAAGTAAACATTTGTGCTAAATTTAAAGAAATTCCCTGGAGGTGTTCTCAAGATATCGCATTGACATGGATGTGATGGATGAATGTATGAACGGACAGACATCCCGGAAACATAATGTCTCCGGCCATGGCTATCGCTGGCATGGAGACTTAAAAATGACTGCAATCATGATGTTTAAACCTCACGCTGCAGTATGATTTAAATGCAGTCTGACACCAGAACGCTGTCTTCATCTTCATCTTCTGAAGGCAAAACATTTCTCTGTGCTCTCCTTGAATCTGAGAGTAAGGCTTGAATAAGAGCAGTTTTTCATGTTCGGTTCAAAAGTTAAACTCTTGGACTGGGTACTATTTGCATAATCACAGCTTTTGATTTTTCAATGAGGGAGAATAAGTAGATGTATTTTAAGAAATTCTATCTAAGTGGTTCAATTTTTCTGTGTGTGGAAAGACAATATCCGAGACCACTTATCATTTACTTCCTCCCAGAAGCGGAAATGGAGTGTTCTTTTATGCAAACTATTTTAAGAAACCTCAGGGAAAGGCACAATGCTTTGATGGCCAATGGATGTGAACACATCAGGAAGTTGTACTTTTTAATGACTTCTATTCAAAGGAGATTATATAAGGTACAACATGTCCTGCTGCCATTTTGTGCCGTGCTGTGTGGCTGTACAGTAACCGTGGCTCTGCGCTACATGTGATGTGTGTCTATTCTGTCACAGTAAGTGGGCTGATGTTTCATTTATTCACGATTTTTGTTCTTACCCTTAAAGATAAATAATGTAGATATATGTTTTATGCACTGAACAAAATACACACTTTCTGCTTCTGTGGATAATCAAGGTGATTTTATTCTATTCAATAATTCTGTCTCATTACCAGTACAATGGTTCAGACTCAAAGCATGGTGATGTAATCAGCACCTCATTTATTGATGGAAATGAAGATCAATTATAATAGATTCAAGGAAGAAACACATCATCATATAATTTATCCCACTTAGACTCCACACAACATTGTGCATTTTCAATAAATATTACCACCTCTAATTTTACAAAATGATAGAACTGTTTCTCTGATTTTAGAGCCTGATGAAAGAGGTGGCTTTTGCACTGATCCATCATAACTATCTTGGAATATAAATGACTGTGAGTGCTATTAAATGAAGCTCCAATTACACACAATACTTTTTTTATGACACATACATACAGTACATTATCTACAGTGTGATTAATTGTGTAGGTGCAGTACGTTGTATAAGAAAAGATTGCCTTTTCACCCAACAGAATTGTTAATGTTGGTTTATAAAATAGACAAAAACAGGAAAAAGGCATTACAGTTCAAGTCAATGTATTCAAACTGCTTGCTTTATCAGACCGACGCCAAAACCCAAAGATATGGAACAAAGAAAAGCTGAATCAGAGAATTAAAGCCTGGGTAGGCAATTCAATTTTGATGTTATTGGGCAAAAATCCCATAATAAACTGTGATGATATTGTTATTTGAGTGAACAGAGAGAAAACAACATCTGCACCTCCTCTGGCTTTGTTTCTTAGGCTTTAGGAAATCTAAGACATGACGGGGGACTTTGGTCAATCCCAGGTCATTTCAGAGAGAGGGCATTCCTATTGGCTGTTAGAGCCATATCTAGCAAGTCCTAGTTTCCTATTATTTTTTGAGTCACTCAATGCTCCACCCGACCTGGCATCTTGGGAACATTTAATTGAAGTGTGGAGCATGAAAGATGCCGCAGGGTTACAATCTTTAACTGCCCTGGTTTTGGTTAATCTTAGCTTTTTTATTGTTTGATAAAGTTGTTTAATACCCCATTGATTTGAACTTTGTATTTGTGAAGGCCTGTTTGTTTGGGGAAATTCTGTTTGGGTTTTTTTGATTTCATTTTTTTTTTTAAACACGACAGTCAAGACAATCAGTTCATGGCGTCATCTTGCAACTCGCCATGAATCCTGCGAAGAAATCAATTCTTAATCCAACCAAAGCACCTGGATCATCAAACAGTGAGAAAAACTAAACCAAAGACAGTGAGTTTATCATGTCTCCTGTTATGGCGTCTGTTTTTTAAGTTACTTAGAAGCCGCAATATTGGCTGTTCTACAGATGCGGGTAAGCCTTTATGTCCCTTCAGTGAAAGCCTGATTCAATGACGGAGGATCCTGCAGAGAAAGATACCACTCAAGCATTGGCAACAACTGCCTACACTGCAAAGCAACCCAAAAAAAGGAACACCAATTGATCAAAAGAGAGTCTAAAGGCCTTGACGCACCAAGCTGACAACTGGCCATTGGTCAATCAATAAAGAATCATCGCTCTTTGTGTCTTTTGGCCACAAAACACAAACAAACGTGATGGTGAAGATCTGAAAACCCGTAGTAGAGCATTTTAAATGGGATTTCCTGGAGAGACGAGGCCACGGGACTGATCATGAGGCACCACAGACACTCAAATCCGTACTTCCATTTTTTTATGGGTAAAATGAGTGGCGCAGCTGTATAGGAAGAAGGTCAGGTCAATCTCATTACTCTTGTCACTAAAGTACCCTTTCCTTTACCTTTTTGTGTCACTGTTGGCTTTGTTCAGTCATCCTTTGTCTGTTGTTAAAGCGGAGCATGCTACAGCACCATAACAATGTGCCTAACACATGTTAGGACTCTGGCTTTTTTTTTTATTATTATTATTTACAAGAGCAGTACCACACTAACTGATCAGCCTTTTCCAGTAGTCTTTTCTCAAATGAGCTGTTTCAATTATGGGATTAAAAAAAAGGGCTTCACCTCCATCTAACAGCGTTGTATTGTGTGATATGGCTGTAACATATTAGATGAATTGAAAGGCTGCACACAACAACCCCTGCTCCTGCAGAGAACTAAAGGTTAAAGCCTGAAAACTCGTCAGTGTTCATTTAGTGTGTAGTGTTCAGTGTCAGTGTTCATTTAGAAATACAAGTGGTTCTATTATTAGCTTGTGAAAAAAAAAAATGAATAAGAGCACTCAAGGAAGTTTTTTAATATTCCAAGATAATAGAAAGTGTCTGAATAATGGAAATCATTCAGAAAGACGGCTGCACATGCAGCATGCAAATCAATTTTAATTGCAAAGTGTGATTTTTACGTTATCAGCGTGAATGCCTGAGCGCTCACACAGGTCTTGGATCTAATTGGTTGTGGCAGCAGACCATTCCCTGTATAACTTTTATAGTAGACAATGCTTCAAATATGGATTCTGCTGCAAGGAGGTTACATATGCTAAAATAGAGATGCTTCACAAACATCTTCAACCCGTCAGCACAGAAGATCAATACGATCAGCACAGTTTCAAGGTGGAAGGTTAGTGTCACCACTTCAGTATCTGACCAAATGTCTCCCCTTCTGCTCTGAGTTATGGCGTTGAGTAATGGCCATAACAATGTTTTTGCAGAGCATAATGATGTCACAGTGAAGTTGATCTTTGGCCTCTTTGTATATAAATTGTCATCACTTCATCATTTTATCCATCCATCCATTTTCATGCACTTATACGGGCCAGGTCTCAGGGGCAGCAGGCTGAGCAAAGCACCCCAGATGTCCCTCTCCCCAGCAACACTTTCCAGCTCCTACTGGGGGACCCCAAGGTGTTCCCAGGCCAGATGAGATATGTAATCCCTCCAGCGTGTTCTGGGTCTGCCCCGGGGCCTCCTACCAGTGGGACATGCCTGGAACACCTCTAACAGGAGACGCCCAGGAGGCATCCTGATCAGATGCCCGAACCACCTCAACTGACCCCTTTGACACAGAGGAGGCGTACTCCGACCTCCCTCCAGATGTCCGAGCTCCTTACCCTATCTCTAAGGCTGAGCCCAGCCACCCCACAGAGGAAACTCATTTTGGCCGCTTGTATCTATGATCTCATTCTTTCGGTCACTACCCAGAGCTCATGACCATCAGTGAGGGTTGGGACGTAGATGGACCAGTAAATCGAAAGCTTCGTCTTCTGGCTCAGCTCTCTCTTCATCCTGACGGTCTGGCACAGCACCTGCATCACTGCAGATGCCGCACCAAATCACCAATCCATCTCACACTCCATTCTACCCTCACTCGTGAGCAAGACTCTGAGATACTTGAACTCCCTTGCTTGAGGCAGTAACCCTTTCTGAACCCAGTGGGGGCAATCCTCCGTTTTCCAGCAGAGAACCATGGCCTCAGACGTGCTGACTCGCATCCCGACTGCTTCACACTCTGCTGCAAACTGCCCCAGTGCATGCTGGAGGTCACGTGTGATGAAGCTAACAGAACCACATCATCTGCAAAAAGCAGAGATGCAATTCTAAGGACTCCAAACCAGACCTGTTTCCTCCCCCCGGCTGGGCCTCGAGATCTTGTCCATGAATATCACAAACAGGATCGGTGACACGGAACACCCCTGATGGAGGCCAACACCCACCAAGAATGTGTTTTATTTTGCGCCGAGTACAGGGACTGGATGGCTCATAGCAGCGGGCCAGATACCTGTTATCCACAGTACCCCCCACAAGACTCCCCAAGGGACGCAGTTGTAAGCCTTGTCCAAGTCCACATAGCACATGTAGACTGGATGAGCAAACTCCCACGACCCCTCCAGCAGCCTCGCAGGTGTAAAGAGCTGGTCCACTGTTCCTCATTTTATTGTACTAGACAATTTTATCCTATTATGACAAAATTTATTCATAATGACCTGATGAATCTTTGCATTATGGCCAAAAATTTGAAAAAATCCCCTCCAGGTGTTCCTGAGATATCACGCCTACGAGAATGGGACGGATGCCCTACAACATAATGCCTCTAGCCACAGCTGTCTCCGGCATGGAGGCATAATAAATACATGATTTTAGAAACCCATACTAACATGATCAGAGCCATCTCTAGGGCATCTCAAGGGCAGGTGGAAGACGGAGGGGGCAGAGATAGATGAGAGCAGCCACAGGATATGAGAGAGGGGGGAGTGATGAGGGGAGATGGGCCATCAGCAGGTTTCATAAGCACTGCTGTTATGTTTGTGTGGTTGAAATGACTGTTGTGGTCTCTGTGGTTGAGGAGTGATAAACTATTCATTATCTTGGCTACATTTTCTTTATTGTAGGTTATTAGAAATGTTAACATAATGACGTGGGTGTCACATCCACATGTCTTCCTCTACTGTCTTTTAAAGTCAACTGAGCTGTAAACAGTGCTGGGCTACAAACAACTTAAAGAGGAGGTTGTATAGTTTGTGTGATACAAAGAAAACCTACCTTGTGTAAGTCGAGGGTGTAAGGTGCAGGATCCCAGGCCACCAGAGTCACATTCTCGTAGATTGAGGTTGTTTTGAATCGATGCTTAGGATGGGCCACAATCTGCCAAGGGAAACAAACATTGCTGTAAATATTAAAGCCAATATACATAATAGCAAATATTTTACACAACTTATATCAGCATTAATGCCAATATCTCCTTAAAGGTCTCGTGTGTTGGATTTACTGGGATATATTTTCAGAAATGGAATATAATATAATAAGTTGGGCTGCCCCCTAATAATCAACTTAATGCTAGTCAACCAGAAAGGTCATTAGTTGGCAAGATTTTATAGGTTGCTTTGTCACAGAAAAACAAAAACAAGCTAAAAACAATCAAAAAAAACAAATGTGAAACTCTATCAGGAGTTGTGCCTTGTCAAAATAAATCAAAACCTATCTGACTGGACCATGTGGGAATTTAATTTGAAAGGACAGACACAGGAAGAGGCCATGCTCAGCAGTCAGACAGGAGTCAAGTTACAAACCAATCACAGCCGACAGATATCTTTCCCTTCTTCTGTAAATATTCAGTCTGATAAATGCGGAAAAGTTGATCAATTTAGTGCAGGGCTACCCAGAGCTTTACATCTGTCCCAAGGATGATAGGCCTCCACACTTATAAACAGCTCCTGGAAGAAGATAAGCTCTGCTCTCAGGATTTCAGATAAATAGGCTATATGGTGCTTGTTCAGGTTGCTTAGCAACCTGCAGCTGCACTCTTGATAGCTGGAACAAAAAAGGCACAAGAGTAGTGCCCAGCACCTGACCTCACATTTTCCAAAGGGTTAAAGATGCAGCATGTGTACAGTAACTGTAACTGTAATCTCCAGGGCTGGTACCTGCGATTATTACACAGGCTAGTTAATAACATGTCGGGGAGGAAATCCAAAGTGTGGGATCATTTTGAGAAGGTAGTTAGCTTGATAGGCTGGTTACAGACAGATACACACACTCAATACAAATGTGCACACACGACCAAAGGCATGATCCCCTCGAGTGTTAAGCCTGGTGGAGATAAGGCACTGGTTTGTTTACTTCCTGAAACTGAGTTACTTCTTTTTAAAACATAATGTTAAGGCAGAGCATCCCTCACTGAGGGTTTATTTCCAACCCAGGGGGCTTCTGTTCTGAGAATAACAGCACGACCTGTGATGACTTTTGGGCAGAAAGGCAAGTTGTGATGACATAATTGGGTTGGACATTTTATTCACACCCAATAGAGCATTAAGAGGTCATCGCTGATGGATGCACTGTTGCCCAGAGTGGTCAAGTGCCAATTTAACGCTAAATCAACACCATGAGAGACGCCCCTGAGTGCCGGATGAGTCATCATCAGGACAAATGACTGTATTTGACAGAGGGAGTCAACATGTAGAAAGCCAGACTGTGTGATACGGTAAGGTTATTTATTTATTGTTCTCAAGATGCTTACAGTCAGATTTTGAATATTGTTTGCTGGACTTATTTGTAAAAAGGTTGAGATATTGATATCCTGTTTTGCAGGCCACACTAACTGACTTCCATGTTACAATTTTCACTTGTAGATCTTCCAGCAAATATATGGAAGGTAAATGAAAATTAATAATGTTTGAGCTGACCTGAGGCTCCTCCAAAATAAGACATGTGGAGCAAATCTAGTATTTCAAGAGTACTGGAAATAAAATTTTTGATTCAGACAGGAGATGCCTAATCATTATTAATCATTAAAAAAGAACCATACACAAGAACATTAACCTCAAAACGAGAAGAGATTGTTTATGCTACATTTAGCTGTAAGATAATTCCCAGGGTGCATCCCACCTCTTACCTAATGTCAGCTGGGATAGGCTCCAGCCCCCCTGTGACCCCTAACAGGATAAGCGGTTATGGAAAATGAATGAATGAATGACCAGAGGAAACAGAGAAAAGGAGCTCTGAAGTTCACTTTTGCTCAAGAGGTAGAAAACCTACAACTATCAGAATGCACTGCGCTGCACCGGGCCAATAAACACTCCTGCTTGTAGGTCATGTATCACAGCTGGTTCTTTTCACACAATAGCGGCGAGCCAGCAACAACAATTTTAACTGTAAGCTAAAATATGTTTCTAAATACATCTGAGGTGAGAAACAGGCAGTGCAGTCACTTATTCTTGGTTTATATTCCATCAGCACTGCCAAGTTTTACCGTTTGATCGGCTTTCAGTCTGAGTTTGAGAGAGGAGCAGCTCTGCCTCTTGACCCGTGTCTATAGTCTTTGCGTCTGCAGTGGTGGCATGAGTGGCGAGCAAAACGAAAATGCCTAAGTACAGCCTGTAGTTCAAAGCTGGTTGTAAATCTGCAAAGTATCCATCAATGTTACACTGGCACCTTGTTAAAGACACATTAAGAAAATTCCTCCCTAACTGCAGGTAATCTGTAGAGCCATTCATAACACACAATCAGGACAAATTGCTCTCTACAGTAAAGGCTGGCATGGATGGGAGGTGCTGATTACAGAAACGTTTGTCATCAGTTAGTTTGCAGAAAAAAAACTTGCATCTAATTAGCTTAGCTTCACATAAGCACTGGGAACAGGGAGAAAACAACTAGCCTGGCTCTGTACAAAGGTAAAAGAAAAGCTGCCTCTCGGCTATTTTCAGAGGTGAGGGAAAACTGATGATTATTTCTGGTTTTGTCACTACAACCTACACCTCTCTCAGGACATATAATCCTTACAAGTACTGTAAATACCAAAATACTGACTTGTGCAGATTTAACAGAATAAATTTAACACCACAGGGACAGTTCAGCTCTGGGCTGATAAATAAAAGCATGTTGTGTGTTGTTAAAAGAGGGTAACATTTACTTTGGAGAAGAGAGTCTTGACCATAAGTGCTACCAACACAATTTTAAGTTAAGTTGGTACTTTTCATTTTAAAGGAGCAGTGTGTGGGATTTAGTGCCATCTAGTTTTGAGGACTGCAGATTGCAATGTGCAATCCTTACCGCTCCCAAGTGCCAAGCGTGAACTCCTGGTAAGGATTCCTTCAGTGTTTATTGTTAAAGAGGTTGGTGCTAGGGCCGCCCCCTAATATTTGACAAAACATTAGTCAACTAGAAAGGTCATTGGTTGGCAAGATTTCATTGGTCGCTTAGTAAAAAAACAAAAAACAAAAGTGAAACTCGATAAGAAGCTGCGCCTTGTCAAAATACATCAAAACCTATACGACTGGACCATGTGGGAATTTAATTTGAAAGGACAGACACAGCAGTCAGACAGGAGTCACGTTACAAACCAATCACAGCTGACAGATATCTTTCCCTTCTTCTGTAAATATTCAGTCTGATAAATACGGAAAAGTTGATCATGTTAGTGCAGGGCTACCCAGAGCTTTACATCTGTCACACAGACGATAAGCCTACACACTTAAAAACAGCACCTGGAAGAATATAAGCTCTGCTCTCAGGATTTCAGGTAAATAGGCTATATGATGCTTGTTCAGGTTGCTTAGCAACCTCAGATGCAACCTGCTGCAGGGCTCTTGAAAGCTGGCACAAAAGCTGGTGGTTAAAGACGTGGCATGTGTACAGCCCCTAATTTCCAGGGCTGGTACCTGCGATTATTCCACAGGCTAGTTAATAACATGTCGGGCAGGAAATCCAAAGTGTGGGATCATTTTGAGAAGGTGATGGACGAACCCAAGGTGATATGTAAACTCATCTTCATTGGTTGACTACAAACATGACGTATCATCTGAAACATGGAAGTAGCTACATGCCCATTAGCCCACAGCGTCATTAACAGGCGGCTCGCTCAGTGTGTGACGTGCACTTGTAGATAAAATACAGGCCTATATTAATGAAGGTTCATTAGTACGGTTTGTATTTCTCTGTAATGTAGCACAGTGTTAACAATGTTACTGATACTATTCTTTCTCACACCTTCAACGCAAACCATTGTGTTGCCCCACCCAAAATATATCATTTGATAATTAAATTAATATCGTAAACATGCGGGTGACTAGTCGACTAATGGCCCTAAATGACAACTATTGGTTGACTAGGAAAATTCTTTGTTGGGGGCAGCACTAGTTTTTACTGGGGCACAAATTATCTGCAGAGGTTTCTCCTCTCCTAAACAAATAGACAAATAGAATAGATGGTTCAGTCTGAGGCTGTTTGGCTTGTTGCAGAGGGGGCTACCTAAGGTGGCCAGTGCAAAAATGCAAATGGCCCTACGTAGAAACAGTGTCTGGTTTGAGTGTTCTGGGCCACTGCAGAAACATGGTAGTGCAACATGGCTGATTCTGTGTACAAGGACCTGCTCTATGTTGATATAAATGGCTTATTCTAAGGTAATAAATAAATGAGGAAGCTTATTTCCAAGTGATTATACCCTACAGAAGACATATTTATTATATTATATTTCATTGCTGCCAATATAGACCCCTATATTTTACACACTGGAACTTTAAGTAATGTAATCTTTAAGCTCCAATTCGTGTTCTTGTATAGATTGTATTTCAAGAATCATGTAGGCTAGGACATGCATCATAACAAACATGAACTATCCTCAAATAAAAATGTCTATTTTCTAAAATTATTACATAAAAAGAATGTGCAAATAAGATTACACATGTATTATTAATAGGTAATCATTCCTATTCATAACTGGTGGTTGAGCCATAGAATCACAGAATGTAAACCAGTGATCAATAAAACAACATTCACTCAATGTCAAAAAAATAAGTGGACCACAGTCGTAATCAATCATTTATATTTTCAACATTTGCCATTCCGCATGTTTTACATGCGTTTCAGAGAGTGACACGAGCCTCTGAGTTCTATGTCTATCAATAATTCATCATCGTGCAACATGCAAGGTCAGACTCTCACTCACCTGAGAGTTGATGATGCGGATGGTGGTTTTGCTCCCCACGTCTCTCTCGTATCCCTCTGTAGGTGCAGCATTGAACCGTAGAACTGCCTCATGAGTGTCTGAAATAAAATACACAAACCGTCATTTGAAGCAGGTAATGAACTGACCTTGAGGTATACACATTGTTGTGACAAAAATAAAGAAAATGTACGAGACACCTGAGCATCAAAATGATAACAAAATTACTTTTTTTTTGTTTTCCCATGAAAACCGACACAACAGTGAAATGAAAAATACATTTTCTCAGTTTGAATCCTGTGCGTTTAATAACTGTTGATTTATTTCTTGTTATATGCCAATTATATGTAAAAAAACAACAACAAAAAAACATCATCCATCCATTTTTATCCACTTATCCAGGGACGGGTCGCGGGGGCAGCAGACCAAGCAAAGCACCCCAGACGTCCCTCTCCCCAGCAACACTTTCCAGCTCCTCCTTGACCCCAAGGCGTTCCCAGGCCAGATGAGATATGTAATCCTTCCAGCGTGTTCTGGGTCTGCCCCGGGACCTCCTACCAGTGGGACGTGCCTGGAACACCTCTAACAGGAGCCGCCCAGGAGGCATCCTGAACAGACGCCCAAACCACCTCTAGCGACTCTTTCTGACTCGAAGGAGCTCTATTCCGAGTTCCCCCCTGGATGTCCATGATCTCATTCTTTCGGTCACTACCCAGAGCTCATGACCATAGGTGAGGGTTGGGACGTAGATGGACCAGTAAGTCGAAAGCTTTGCCTTCTGGTTCAGCTCCCTCTTCACCACGACGGTTCGTCGCCGATCCATCTCACGCTCCATTCTACCCTCACTCGTGAACAAGACCCAGAGATACCTGAACTCTCTCGCTTGAGGTAATAACTCTCTCCCAACCCGGAGGGGGCAATCCACCAGTTTCTGGCTGAGAACCATGGCCTCAGAAAAAAACAGTGCCAAAGATTTTACATCAACACCAGTCTATTCTCTTTCCATAAAACCAGGTAAAATAGTTTCAAGTTTTCAATGACTCTCCCTGCACTCAGAGACATTTACCAAAGTTCATCCAATCAAATGAGACTTTGGGTGATTAGCTAGCCACGCTGGTCATATTACACCGCACTTCTCGGTTTGTTGCTTGTATTAGCTAACAGAGCAGTATGGTGAGAGACAGGAAGAGAAGTGAGTTTGGATATCAGAGGGTGAAACCTTTGTTTTCATTCCCAAAAACTTGTGTTGGAGGTCTAATTCAGTCATCTCTCCCTTGTCCTCCTCATCTGATCTTATGGCGAGGGAGATGTGCCATCAGAGAGCCATCAGTCCACTGTAGCACCGTATCATGTTAGACTCCAAACCCGCCACCTTTTAAGCAGTCCAATCGAATGCGAAGGATTTGGTTAAAACCCTTCTTGTAACTGTACAGCACTCACATATCAGGCTATCTACACATTTACCATTTCCATACTTTTCTACATTCAAATTTCCAGACTTCCTAGTACCTTTATTAGGTCATATTGACATCTGAGTACAGATAGCCAGCTGCTCAGTCCACACACACACACACACACACACACACACACACACACACACACACAGTACTTATGTTTACTCTTATTCTACTGATGTATATCGTGGTTTTTCACAGTGACGATATATATCTTATTTTCAATATGTTAATTTTATATCTTAAGTACTCATGTTAAACACTGAAGCATAATGTACCTTTTATTGTTATTTCATTTTAATGCACATTTCATTTCTACTTTATTGCTTTATATTTACACACTTTTGTTTCATACTCTTATTCTTACTTCTTATAATTCTCTATTCTTTACATCAGAGCAGCTGTAACAAATCATAATGTCCCCTCAGGGATCAATAAAGTATTTCTGATTCTGAGCCTCGAAATATACTCTGGGAAATATGTCACAGTACAGAAGCTAAAGACGCTGTAACTTCCACTTCACTGGGACTTTAAAATCAGATGATACATTAATAGTATTTAAAAAGTCATGAGGTTTGACACCCAGCTCTTGAGATGTTCAGATAAATGTAAAGTAGGACAAATCGATGAAGTGTTTCACATCAGCCTGAGCTTGTCAAGGTCTTGATGTGTTCACCGTTGTCTTTCAGAATTGCTTCTTAGTCTTACATTTTAGAGGCAACTTCAAAAACAAGAAAAAAAAACTACACAAAATACATAAGAAGGCAGACTGTGGCTCACTGAAACAAGAACACAGTTGTTTGCATATGAATGACTTCCAGCTCACACGGCACACACACACAAACACACATCTTTCTGTAGTTAGATCAATGCTTTCTGGAGTTCGACACATCATCAAAGCGCTCGTGGCAGTAGTCACTGTAACAACACGCTGTCTGCAGTGATGTAAATTACTGTATGATCACACAGTGGTAACGTGTGTCAGGCTCACAAAACCAAAAGTAAACCAAAGTGCTCTCTAGTGGTTAGTTCCTGTAACTGATGAGCTACCACACAACAGCCTCAACCTTCATTCTGACCACATTCTGTTTTGTTTGTGTACGTCAGGGTTCCCACGCAAACATGAAATCCTCAGCGTGATGGATGTTTGTAGTAATAATTAGAATCTCTTAACGTCTGATGATCGATCCGTCAGTCCCAGGGATCCTCCACATGCGTTGATCTGACACCAGAATGGATGATCCTCCAGCCTTTGATCTAATACTCCTTCAGCTAGTCGACCGTTACAAGACCAGCCTGACATTGAGTTTGCCCAGCTGCTCCAATATAACACTGTAAACATGTCAGTTCCCTGCGGGGCTGCGCCAGACTGATTGATTTTCAGGATGGTTTTCTTAAAGCAGAGATCGTTCTTTGTCATTGGAGGTTTGTTTCACTGAGGAGGAGGCTGACATTAATGTTTCACACATGCACCTTCAGACTAAAAATATTTAATGAAAAAGAAAACATACTTTTACAACACTTCTCTTTTCTACGTGGGAAGCATTTTCTCAGTAGCCATGAAGCATGTGACGCCGTATCACAACACCGTTATTCACACTCCGTCAGAGAGTTTGATTCATCTAAAAGGTAAAGAAAGCATCGATCAGTGTCTCAGTGAGATTAAACTTGAGCTCACTGCTCCTCCGTTGATGCAGTTTGGCCATGTTTGACATGTTGTTCTCCTCCTCGTGTCACATGATGGATGAATTAGTGAGACTGACTGTGCCGGAGTCTGTTCTTATTTGTCATGTCACTTTGTAAACTCAAATATAGATATGTTGATTTTCAGACCCCCTGTGGAGCCGACACTGTTGGCTTTCAGCTGAATATAACCGACCCGGTGTCGCTGATTGTACAGTCATGATTTCATTACTTCAGGTGTCTTTTATGTCTAGAGATGTTTCTGCCAGACAAATAAAACCTGGGAAAGGCAGATGAGGTTATAAGCAGCCTGTTAAATGTTCTGCCATTACTTTAACTATCACAATGCAATATTCTGACATCAATCACGGCTCCAGTTATTACTGTAACATGTTGCCACCTTGCACTGGCGCCTTGTTCTAAACTGGCGTGACAGCTGAATTTTAAAAACGTATTAAAAAAGCCTTGTTCCAATTACAACCAGTTAACCCATTATGAGCCTGAGAGCCGTCCAACAGCAGCAGATGAGGCTCTATCCCAGCTGACATTAATCGAGAGGCAGGGTACACCCTGGACAGGTCACCAGACTATCACAGGACTGACACATAGAGACAGACAACCATTCACACTCACATTCACACCTATGGACAATTTAGAGAATTAACCTGCATGTCTTTGGACTGTGGGAGGAAGCTGGAGCACCTGGAGAAAACCCACACTAAGGGCTCCCCCACCCTGCTAGTGAGGCCACAATGCCTCGCCAGTTCAAATCCCTGTCCGGACCAAATATGGAGTATGGACTGCTAGCTGGAGAGGTGCCAGTTCGCCTCCTGGGCACTACGGAGGTGCCTTTGAGCAAGGCACCAAGCCCCTACCTGCTCGGGCCCCTGTCCAAGGTTCAAAATCCTCTGGGGATTCATGAAGTATATATTCTTCTTCTTCTTCAGATAAGACTCTGTTTGATTTAGAAATGTGGCTGCTTATTTTTCACAGTTCTAATAATAATCATTTCCTGATATAACATTACAGTTTCTGTCTCCATGCACACAGAATGTGACGTCTAAAGGCAGAGCAGCAGCATGACAACAATGTAGGTGGATGAAATAACAAATAAACAACATTAAAATAGAACAAATTTGGTTAATGGTTTGGTTTAATGCTACTTGAAGATGTATGCCTTTATGAATTAAATTACTCTAATGGTGTATTTTTTTGTTTGTAGAAAGAGGACACAACCCCAGTGAAAATCAGTGCAGTGTGTGTTGCTTTTAACCTTTTATATCTCTGTCCTCAGGTCAGACCTGCTGGCAGCTCTGCAAGTGTCTTTTTTAATATGACCGCAGGGGGCACCATGTTAGGAATCTTGCACAACTACAGTGAAATCAACAACACAAATTACTCAAATTTACTACACAAAAATATCTAAAATCATGAGCCCAAATATGCAGAAAAAACATCAACAAAGAGGGACAGCAGGCCGAAGCTTCACCAGCAGACTGAAATTTACTCAAAAGTACCAAAAACTATGATCATAAAAATGACATGTGAGTTGAGTCAAAAACTTCCAAGTATCAAAAACCAATAAACTCTATAACACTGCCAGAAATGGCTACTCAAAACGAAGATAAATATTAAATTTTACATGGTAGAGGTCTTACCACTTTCCCTCATACAGTCTGTCCTTTTTGGGAATATGAATTTAACACTTGGAAACAATTTTTCAGAACAGTTTCCAAAACAACTGGTTCCTACCACAGAATCTTTCAGCTGAAGATTTTCTACAAAATTACAGCCACTAAAAAACAACTTAATACGTTACACACTGAATAATCATCATTATAACATTGTGTAATTATGGAGAGAAAGACCAGCTGCATTTGCTAACATTCATGTCCTGTTACTGCATGTCACTAACTCGGCTTCTTCTCTGGAGCCTTTGTGCTTCACTGTCTCACAGGTTCCCT